AAAAGCAAATATGTGATTAGATATAATTATCAATTCTGACTAGGAAACAATTGTGCAATTTAATTATCTGGTTTTGGGACAGATGATTTCTCACTCACTCACTCATTCACTCACTCAAATGGTGAACATACATAATATCCCTGCTTCCTATTTCCCCCAGAACAATAACCCTGTGTGTAAGCTGGTTAAAAGCTTGTAAGAAAATTCACCAGGTTGGAACCTTGGGTGTATAGAGGCTGCATTTAAGTTTAAACTTAACAAGGTGGTTAAGAGACATCTTGAGTAAGTTTGTTAATGTATCTCTTAACTCTATTATCTCTTAATGAAGTGCAATTTATGTTGGAAATCACCACATATTGTTCAAAAGTGTTAAAGGTCCTCACTGATTCATATAACTAAATATAATTGTTTTGCTATCCCTGGGTTCTTTGTTAAGGTCTCCTATCTCATGAATCAGCTCTTCTCTGTACACAGGGCATCACTGAAACTAGTACTCCAGTTAAGGAACTTACTGTTCTTTTCCTTCTTTTTGCCAGATGTATTTGCTACCTCTGTTCATGCTCTAACGAATGGAACATTTTCCTATTCGTTATTCACCTTTGCCTGAACAGTTCAATTCAGTATCCATCTGCTATGTAGATATTAGGAAACTCAGAACAAGTTCAGTAAATTTCCATCTAGATATGGAGCAGATCCAGGCATGTTTAAAGCTGCTATGCCATAACCCTTTAACCTTCCTGAACCGCTGTGCCCTTCTGTTTTTTTCATGTTTTATAATTATAATTCCAGTACTGTGATCGTGACAGTCTGTAATTCTTATTGCACTGCAACAGTATGGAGGAAAAGTTGCAATGTTGAACTGATATGTTTAGTATCTTACTTCATAGAGATTATTTTTTTCCATTGTCAGAAACAGGCTCACATTTTCTGCTCTTCCAGATTCAAGTTGCTATCTCAGCACTGTCTTGCATTCATTTATTTATATATAACAATATAACTTGTGACATGTACAGGCAGACCTTGACTTACAACAGTTCATTTCGTGACTGTTCAGTTACAATGGCATTGAAAAAAGAGACTTATGACAGTTTTCACACTTATGACCATTGCAGCATCTCCACAGCCAAGTGATCAAAATTCAGACACTTGACAACTGACTCATGTTTACAATGGTCACAGTCTCCTTGTGCCATGTGATCCCATTTTTGACCTTTTGACAAGCAAAGTCAATGGATCACTTAACTGTGTTACTAACTTAACAACAACTGTAATGATTCACTTAACAACTGTGGCAAGAGTGTTCGTAAAATGGGGCAAAACTCACTTGTCTTGTTAGCAACAGAAATTTTGGGTTCAATCATGGTTGTAAGTTGAGGACTACCTGTACATTAGATTGTAATTGCTGGTCCCTGATTATTTATGTGGAACTCTTAAGAGACATTGGCACCTGTAATTTCTAAAAGGATTTCTTTATTTGGCTTTAAAATGAGCAGTGTTTGTGGCTTCCCAATTTAAGACTAATTGCTGGTCACTCTACCATGTTATCATTCTGTTTTTTTTTCACAGCTAAATGTTAATTATCTAATAATATTTAATAAATTAAATAATATTTAATTTAATATTTAAAAGAAGAAATAGGGGAAACATGATAGCAGTATTCCAGTATTTGAGGAGCTGCTACAAAGAAGCGGGCGTCACATTATTCACCAAAGCACCAGAGGGAAGGACGAGAAACAATGGTTGGAAGCTGATCAAAGAGAGAAGCAACCTGGAATTAAGGAGAAACTTCCTGACAGTGAGGACAATTAACCAGTGAAATAGCTTGCCCCCAGAAATCGTGGGTGCTCCATCACTGGAGATTTTTAAAAAGAGGCTAGACAGTCACTTGTCTGAGATGGTATGGTTCTTCTGCCATAGACTAGAAGACCTCCAAGGTCCCTTCCAGCTCTATTCTTTTCTATTCTAATTTAGAATTCCTTTAATGTAGCTTCTTTGATCTTTTATGCTCAATTGTACACATTTCTATCACTGTTTTAACAGAATGCCTGAAGGATATTCACAATTTTATACTTAGAGTACATGTTATTGGTCTGATTTAAAGTATACCCTCAAATGTTTTAAGACAGTATTATTATTTTATCAGTCAGGGTGATGAAGATGCCTTACAGAGCTGGATATAAAAAGCAGTATTTCTTTGATTACCAAGCTGATTTGTGGTTTTTAGTTTAATACAGAAATCTAGTTTCCAGTACAGTTTATTTTTGCACATACTGTAGTGAGTGCTACCTTTGGAAATGTTCTTTATCTTCCAGCATCGGTACAGATGGGCTAATGAGGATTTCCTTTTCTGAGGACTTGTAATGCTGAGGATTTCTGAAATAAGATTTATAGGCTTCTCAGGGATAAGGCTTGCTAGAACTGGAGGTCAATAATCTCTGTGCTGTTTGTATTTTATGATGCCTAGTCCAAGTGTTAATAGATCAGGAAATTGGGAACACTTATTTGTAAGAAAGGAGCTATTTGTAAGAAAGGAGCTTGCATTTTTTTTTTTAGAATTCTATTACAAAAAATTAAATAGTTCATTGCTAATCCATTCGAATTGGTTCTTCCCATCAGTTTTCACAATTCATAATCATTTATATCAAGCATCCTCATATAGCTAATATTAACACAATAAAGTATTGTATACAATGCTTTCGTGCTTGATGCTAAAATGGCACCAAATTTTTAACTATCAAGAGGTAGTGAAAATACTTTCTGGAATTGATATAGAAGTAGGAGAAGCAATTTAAGTGGGTGTCAGAATTATACTGTGGTCCCCAGTCATTTGGGAAGAAAGATCTGTGAGAGATTTTGCCACCTTTGCAAGACCACATCTGTGTTTCCTTGCTATCTATCTGTGATGAAGTAGTCTTCAAAATGATGATAAATTCATAGCAATAATATTAAGTACAATGTAACTAGAGAAAGTGTATGATTCCACCTTCAGGTGGACGGGCACTGGACCTGAGCATTGCCATAGAACCAGAGACCCTTCAGTAAAAATAAGCACTCCATTTTTCATGATGGTGGAACCTGAGAGACACATTAAACATTTCAGGCTGGTCATATATTTGTTGGAACAAGTTGCTTCTCTTGTCCACATCATTTGGAAAATTAAAAAGACACCAAACTGTACACAGTGAGAGATGATCAAAGAGGAGAAGAGGTAGGACAGAACCTAAGCTGGATTTTCAGATAAGACAAGTGATGATCAAAGAAAGAAAGATATCAGGCAATTTCCATCCTCAACAAGGGCAAGAATGTTGACTCGAATACAGCAAATATAAAAAGCTAAGCTGTACTAAAGGTTAAAGCTGTTTAAAAATGAACTGTTTTCTATCAAAAGTAATCAGTGTCATGTTTTGTAAACTTGTTTGGATGAGAGAAAAATTATTATTAGAAAACAAATCCAGTTTGGTGTTCCAATTAACATTCTCCCCGCTAATTGATGGATGTGTTGCAATGTATTTGGGCAGGGATTTAAAAAAAAAAAATTGGTGATGGTGATAAGAAGTCCATTGTTTTGAAAAGAGTATATACTATTCAACAATGTGTAAACCATAACAAAACAAGATTTGTCTTGCCTATTTTTTAAACTCCAAACATATAGCTTAATAATGCTTTTAAATATTCATTGCAATGTTACTGTTTTACAACATGACTCATGACATGAACAGGCAAACATTTGAAGTGGTTTTATTGCTTCACAGTTAGCCTAAATTAATATGTTTAAATGCACGTTTACTAATTTTTCTTAAGGGTTTTCTTTCTGTAATAGCGGTAAATTGGTGGAAAGGTAGATAATTGCTTCCTCATATTTTATGATTCAGGTTGAAAGTCTGACTTATATGGAAGTTTTCACATAAAGGGAAAGTTTAATTAGGTTACCAACCATAGTGGCTCCCATGTCATATGCAGCATTTAGATCAGTGGCCTCAACCTTTCCAGCTTGGTAGCCCAGTCTGCTGTGGGGGAGGGGGTGAATGGCAGCCGTGTGCGTGCACAGCTTCATTTGTGCAAACGATGCGCATGCACCGTCCACTCACATGAATGGAGCTTGACAAGCGAGCGGAGGATGCTTGTACGTGAAGTTCTGCTTGTGTGAGTGGAGGGCACTTGAGCAGAGGGTGCTTGTGTTCATGTGCGCTTGCCCATTTCTCCCACAGCCCAGTTTCGAATAGGCCATAACCTGATAGTGGGCCACGGCCTGGGTTGGGGACCCCTGATTTAGATTATGCTTCCAGTGTAGCCAAATATTAATAAGCAGTCTTGAGCTATTCTGTGGAAGCCCAGATTGCTACTTTAGAGTCTTGCCCATATCCCACCAATTTGAAGGTACATAAAATACTCTGACTCTCTGGATACCTAAGATAGAAAAAAAAGCAGGAATTAATTGTGCATTGTGCAGTTGATCTGGTAAAAGAGTGAAAAATAATAAAACATGGAGTCAGATTTTAATAATTGCTTACTGTATTTGTTGTATTTATGTACTTTCTTATAACCTGCCCTGTAATCTAAATATCTCAGAGTTGATTAGTCCAAAAAATACAAAAAAATGAAAGAGAAAAATATTTAAAAATGCATCACTTGCAGGCCACGTACCTCACTATCAAATCTGTGTAACAGATTAAGGCCCCAACATAAAAATCCACCTTGTGTGTGAAAAATCTTTCAGTGATCCTGTCCTAACTTCAAGTCCTCTAATTATCTCATTCAGTGGCTGATGGACTCTGTAGTACTCTACAGCCTGACTGCTGTTTGTCTAAGCAGAATTATCCCAGCGTCCTTCTTTGGACCTATTCTTTTATAAAGTAAAATATCTGTTTATTTTACAGATTATCATAGCCAGATCTCTCATGCAGGAATATGAAATAAATATGTTATTGTTAAATTTGTCATAAACATTGTGTCATTTAATTGTCTGTTTGCTTCTAAGTATATTTGTTGTCCCTTGATAGGTGATGGGGTCCCACGGGAAAGTAGCCCATTCATCAACAATTCAAGTTTGGAGAGAGGAAGACTCTATGAAGGAAAAAATATGGCGCTCTTTGAGGTAATATTAATGATTAATTTCAACAAATCCTTGTTACTGCTAGTACATTTTAAGGGCACTAGTTGCTTGTTTAAAATCCATTGATGGTTTGCATAACACAGATGACTGAGTCCACCACTTCTTGGTCACCTTACTTATTCTCTGCATCAGCAATACACAATCCTCAACGACCCAGACAACATTCTCTTAAGACTTCCAGCTGACACAAAGAAAAGTGAGAAATGTTCACATCCTGCATTTATATTTTATTAAAGCTAGAAAATAATGGAACAAAACCCCACAATTATTAAGTATTCCAACTATTCTATTCCCTTTTCACCCAATAAAAGAAGAGGGAAATAGATGTCTTTGAAAAGCTCTATTTTTCACTGGGCTCTAAAGAACATAATCTCTCTCTCTCTCAGAAGAAATAAGGAACATTACTTGCTAGCCTTCTATGATTTCTCAGTAGAAAATAAATGCATAGGATTTGACAGCTGACAATAAAAAAAAAAACCTTTAAAAATTATTCTCACTCACCCGCATGTTACTTCATTGCCCCATCTCCTATTGTTCTTACTATCCAAAGTAATATCCACAAAAAATATCATAGTGAAACATTATTTTCTAACAATTACAAAATTTATTTTTCTTTTATATAGCTGTGTTATATACATGAATGAAAACAAAAAGTGGTTTTCTCAGTCAGTTGGTCTACAAAATTTACTTTTTGTGATGCATTCTCCAAAGTCTGACTAAAAATATGGTTCCTACGGTAAGAGTATACTTCTTAGATGGTATTTTTTCAAGCTCAATAACTGAATTATCTATATTTTGAGGCCATGCAATATTTATAAAAATAGCTCAAAAAACTTAGCTCTTGGATACTTTACATTGATTGGCTGTTTATATTACATTTAAATATGTGAGTATTTTGGGGCTAAAATGTGCTTTTCTCTGGCCTATTACTTTATCCCAAAATTTCAACAGGAAGAAATGGACAGCAACCCCATGGTATCATCTCTTCTTAACAAATTAGCCAATTATACCAATGTTACTCAGGGAGTGGTAGAACATGAAGAAGATGAAGATGCCAAGCGGAAGGAAATTAAGGTACAAAATGCACCCTCCATTCTCTATTAAATCATCATTTCCATGAGTTGGATACAGTGGTGGCCATGAATATTAACAATATTGGTTCCTGACCCATGAATCCTAGAGGTTTTAATGCTTTTCTTTTGTCACATTATGGTCATACAAGCTAAGAACTATGAGGAAGATTTATTTTTTCTTTCAAAGAAATAACACATGTATAAATTATAGCATGCACATAGACGTTCTTAACATCAAGACTTTACTAAGAGTTCAGTAATTTTCAGTTTTGCTAAAAAAAATTTGTAACAATTTGAATCAGAGCAGCTAAGATTAACAGCACAAAAAATAATGAAAAGAACAAGGCAAATGTGAAGGAAGATAAAAGTGTGTGTTATGTGATGCTGTGGGATATACTCTATATGCTATACACTAAAACATCTAGCATAACAAATAAAACAGAAAATAATGAAAAAAGCAAAAGAAAATGTAAAAGCCTGTGAGTAGAATGTAATTTTTGTGAGAAATACAAAAACCTTTCTGTATTGTGGCCTTTTTATCAAAAAGATTATCCTAACCAATTTTACATGTTATCTGATTTTTAGGCTCCAAGTATGGGTACTTTCATTGGCGTGTATTTACCCTGTCTACAAAATATTTTGGGAGTTATTCTATTTCTGCGACTGACATGGATTGTGGGAACAGCAGGAGTTCTTGAATCATTCATTATTGTATTCATGTGCTGTGCAGGTGTAAGTATAAGATATAATTTTTTTTTGTATTTGCTGAAGTATTCTGCATTCTAATAATTTTTGTGTTCTGTCTTGATAATTTTACAAATAGCTGGACAGGCTATTTATAGCAAATAAGGCTTGTAGTAATAGAGGCACGCTGTTCTGTTTCTATGTAGCCATATTTCTTAGAAGCAGCGCTGTTGACTGGCTAAAGTAGTATCAAGTGTGTTAAATGAAATCCGTCTACTTGTTTTGTTTATTTCTAGAATGAAAAAAAGTCACTGTTTTAGATCAGAAAATCTTGTGAGTAAGCCCTCTTCCTAACTTAAAGTAGAATTTAGTGCAAATTTAGTAGTTGTTTAAGAACAGAAAGTTGGAAGCTGCTTGACGAATACAAATAAATAAACAAGGCTACACTAAGGTAGATAGTACAGTTATAAAAAAGCACAGAATTTCTTCTGAGAATTTTCCTCTTATATAATTCTGTTTGCTAAAATAATTTTAGTGAATTAGCTGCATATTAAAGGCTGGGTTTAGAGATTTGATTAGTAGCACCCATACCTACACATTTCTAATCAATAGAAGTGTGCTAGAGATCTCTGGAATCATCCCAAGAAATAATTATGGGAGAAATATTTATTCTAGATATTTCAGATATGATATCTGAAATATCAAGTAGTCCTGGTAGTGCAGTGGTTAGAATTCAGTATTGCAGACAAACTTTGCCCACGGTCTGGAATTCGATCCTGATGGGGACTCAAAATGGATTCAGCCTTCCATCTTTCCAAGGCTGGTAAAATAAGGTCCCATATTCTTGGGGGCAATATGCCAACCTTGTAAATCAAGAGAATGCTGTAAAGCACTATAGGGCAGTATATAAGTCTAAGTGCTATTGCCATTGATACTGCTCTCTGGGAAAACCCCCAAGGCATTGTGATCTCTCCAAGTTTGATTTCCAAGGATGACTTGGAATCATTGTTCAGATAGACCTGGTGAATATAAACATTGTATTTTAAATATTTAAGTATTTAAAACTATAACTATACTATAAAATGATATTAAATTTTAAAATAAAGTTCATTCCCCCCCCCCAAATGCATTTCCATTCAGTGACTAGAAATGATTTAAAATAATATTTTCCAAAAATCTGCTGAAAATTGCTTTGCAAATTTGCATGTCAACCAGTTGTTGAGGTTTTTTTAACTTCCTTTGCCTGAAAAAAAAAAGTATTTTGTGAGTTAATGATTGAAAATTGGGAAGTCAAATAGATACCATGTCCTGCTTTTGACTGGTGGGAAAAATAGCCCTGTTGTTCTTTCTGTTGATATCATACATTTAGAACTTTATACCCATTACTTTTAAGCTAAACTGTAATAGAATTAGAAATTCAATATACCTGAATTCCATTTATTTATAAATTCAGTATATTCAGAATACATAATAATTATTAATCTGCTTAACTTGCATTAAGATCATGAAGCTTTAATTTTTCTCTCTCATTTTATCCTTGATATTGACACTGTGAAAGTGAAACCCTTATTTTCACTGGAGGTAATTCATCCACAGAGATAATAAATAGGATATGAAGACAAAGGAAACTCTTTCTCAACAGCTGATTGACTTGATTTATTTCCAATTGTTCTTGCTTCAAATAGCAACATTTGTTAGCAGCTTATAGACTCTGAGTTATTTCCAATGTTGAGAGCCAATGGATACCAGCAGTGCGTAATTTGAGCTAAACCTGCAAATGGGTCACCTTCAGAATTAAATTACAAAATTACTCTGGGAAGCTTCACAAAATGAAATGAATAACATTATATAAAAAATAACATACATAAACACAATTCCTGTGCAAGGAAACAAACCATCTTTCCACATCCCCCACACCAACATCCTAACCCAAAGCCTGAGGGAAAAGCCCATTAAAAAAAAAAGATTTCTCAAAAATGGGCATAGTAGGGTTCATACAGATATTGGAAGAATAAAAGCCGGTGCGGCAAGAAAAAAACTGCCTCTGAAGGCTAGCCAGAGAACACTGCTTTGTCAGTGGGTCCAATTGAACCGGCTGACCAAATCAAGCTGGGATGCATAAGATGGGCAGACAATATAAGAGACAAGCAATCTCTTAAAATAGCAAGGGCTTCATGTGTATCAGCCCTTCAAGTGGGCCAGATCAGAAAACTGAAGACTGTTGGAATTTTACTTTATTGTTGCAAGATATAATAAAATCTTGAAAAACTTGACAATTGCTGTCTTCCCTCTTATACCAAGGGAATCAAGAATCTTGAGTTTCTTTCTCACTCCCCCTCCTCCCTTTCCAGGCTAAGCTGGTATTCAGGTAATGGTCATTGAATACCTAATTCAAGATCATCTCTATACTCATCTATAATAGGTAATAATCAGCACCTTGAATTACAGTCAGAAGCTGGTTTGTATCCAATGCAACTCGCATAACAAGGATGTTATGTAAGCACAATGGGGCTTGTTCATCTCTGTTTGTGCTGCTGCATTCTGGGTCAGCAATAGCTTCCAAGTGACCTTCAAGGACAAAGTGACCTTCAAGGACAAATCCATTGCACTAGAATGCATTGTAATAGCCCATCCAGAAGATGACTAAGATGTGAAAAACTCTACTTGTATTGTTCAAGCTTTTTGGAGACCTTTATATATAAATATTTATTTTAACACAGTTTTCTATGTTACATTTTGTGATACAAATAGTGATGTGCATCTTGCCGCAAAATGTTTCTCATTGTGCCAAAGCCGGTCAAAACTATATAATATTTAGTTTTATATATATGTGCTATGTATAATAAATAAATTGGGCATTTGTACAGCCATATGGTATTCCCATCTGTTCCAGTTCTAAGAGTTACATTACTTGACTGAATATATGTGGCATGGGTTTTTCTTTACTGCTCTGTGCTTCAAAATGAAGTAATAGTTACAGCCTATATAAATAACTAGAAGGGAGAAGACATAAATAATGTATAGTATTTCTTCTTCTCATAATGTGGATATAGTGACTGAGCCCTTTCCAGATCAATAATCAATAACATTTTTTAAAAAAATGTTACTATAAAAAGTGTTCCTGGATATTATCGCCGCATGGATCTTGCTGTCTTGGTGAACAATGTAAGTTTCTACTGCTCTGTACTAGTCTATTTATATGATTTTTGTTTTTTTATAAAATTGAGTATTGTTCTCCACTGTGCAGCTGGGTGAATCCTTTTACATCTTGCAAACAGTCATAATTCTTTGCTTCTTAATAACATTTACTATTATCATTTGTTTTTGTAGACTATGCTGACTGCAATATCAATGAGTGCAATAGCAACAAATGGTGTAGTTCCAGGTAATAACAAAATATAATTTTGTTTTAAGATATTTCATGCACTTTATAAACAATCCTCCATTACTGGTGAAGTATTGATCACTGTGATTAAATGAGACATATGGAAGGTAGGCAGGAAAGAATTGCTTAACATATAATGTAAGATAATGCTGTCATGCAGAAAATGGTGTTTGTGAGAAAAGCACAAAAAATGAAAACTTGGCCTGATTTATTCCTGTTCTTGTCTGCTTTGCTAAGACGCAATGAATGGAACAAACAAGACAGGCCATGCAAAAGACAAGATAATGCCAACTGTCCTTTAATATCTACTGTGCAGCTTCTGCCAGATAAGTTGGGTGGGTACAGTGATATGTGAGGCCTCCCCTTTGTTCTTCAAATAGCAACAGAGAAAAGCCAAAACTAACATGAGAGATATCCTATCTGTTTATCAGATAGCAGCAGATAACCAGTTAGGCATATGCCTTTGAGAGAATAGGTGGAACTCCAGCCCTGAAATCTCTATGAATCCAAAATAATAGAAGTCAGGCATTTACTCCGGGATGTGTTTTACTTCAGAAGAAAATCTACTTGGTTTTGAACAGAATATACTCTTGAGAAGTAAAATTGTTCTCTCTTCTAGAGGGGAGGGGATGGAATATTGCATTAAAAGGATCTTTAATAATCTGGGTTTATAATGTACATTACCAGTGAACTTAATCCCTGACTATTACTTATTTGTTTATTTTTAAAAATAATCTCTGTATCCTCTTTCTCTACAAAATAGTTTATAATAGCCATTTAATCATTCTAATGTAAAATAATGTAAAAGAAGTTTAAATACAAATAGCTGAAATGGAATTGTTAACAAGGATTGATGGCTTAGAAAGGGGGTTAGAATAAGATGGAGTTTAAAATATCTAAATATTTAAAATATCCAAAGAGCAGGACCTTCCCACAAAACTCCTAAATACAATACCTGGAGGGGGGGCATTGTCACCAGTGGAGGTTCTTTAAGGGAACCTGCCTCTAGGTGGCATAAGATTTTGATTGTAGCTTGATACCAGATAGGCAGCTGGTGCAGATCTTTTAGTGCAGCTATAATGGGCATGTAAAAAGTAGCCCAGTCTGATACTTTACCACTGCATTGTCTTAGTTGTAAGTTTCAAACCAGTTTCAAGATGGCCTCAATAGACCACATTTAAATTTGAAGTCATCTTTGTATGGTAGTCTTTGTGACTATCTTTGTTCAGGAGAGGGTACCAACCTGTTAATAATAGGCACTTCTGACCATAAAAAATCATTTCCAGTGATGATGAGCACTACCAGAATGCAAACCTGTTCATTTAGAGCAAACATGTCAAACTCACGATGTCACACAACGTCTTGGAACTTTTTCTCCATTGCTGGCAATGGGGTGGGCGCGGTTTCCTTGTGACACGTCCGGCCCATGGGCCGGCAGTTTGACATCCCTGATTTAGAGGGAGTCAAACATCCCCCAGAGCAGATTTGTCTTTACTTTTTAGAGTAGAGGTATCCTTCTATCAGGTTACCCTCTGTCAGGTACCAGGAATCAGCTTAGTTTCTTGACCTCCAGAAACTCACCACCATATTCAATCATTAGTTTAGATTAGACATTTGTCTTTCTTTTCTTATATATAATTTTTTTTATTTTCAATTTTGCAATACAATACAATCTTAAAAATACTTAAGATAAAAAAAATAAGACAAATTAATACACACCATTTTCGGTATTGCTCACCCATTTCCCCCCAAACCGCATCCACCCTCTAACCAACTTGCCTCTTTCCCTCTTCTTTCTCTTCGTCCCTCACCCCCTCTCCTCCACCTTCCTACTTACTTCTCACCTTCTTCTATCCTCTCACTCCGGATGCAGTCCGGGGGAAATGCCCGAGCAATTCCTCTCTCCAAATTGAAACCTCAATATATATACAATAAAAACTATTTCTACTTATCTGAACTACTAAAATTCCCACTCATCCTTCCCCACCCCCTCCCCCCCCCTGACTTCCCAGAGCTAAGTACAGGATTATACAAATATACTAAACATCTAATTAAGTTTACTAATTATACAAAAAGCAAAATCATATTAACCCTTAACTCTCTTCAAACTTTAACATCATAAATTTAAACAAATTCATTACTCAAAAAATAAATGAAACTTTATAGTTCCATACTTCTTCTGAACATATTCTATTCATCTTCTCCATACATTGAGATATCTCTCTTGTGAATGGTCCTTTAAATAAGCAGAAATTTTAGCCATTTCTGCTAGATTAGAAACCTTAAATACCCATTCTTCTAAAGAAGGCAGAGTATCCTTCTTCCAATATTGACCCACCAATAACCTTGCTGCTGTTATTAAATTCAACATTAAAATAGTTTCTTTAACATCAAAATCCACAAAAAAGACATTTGTCTTTCTTGATTGCAATATTACAGAAAAATTGAACTGGTTTTTGTCACAGTGTGGTGACCTTTTTCCAAATCTAATGACATCTGTAAACATGCAGTGAAAGAAATTAATTATATTGTATTTTTCTGTGAATTCATAAAAAAAAATAATGTCGTAAGCATTTTCTTTAACATGAAGTACAGTTAGTCTTTCCTTACATCTTTACCATTGCTCCCAGCCCCGGTTACCCACACTGCCCTGTATTCCCAGGATCTGCCATTTACTGCTCACCTTCAGAAATTTTAAAAGAAATGTCCTTCCTGAATCCAAGACTGGCAGTATGTAGAGTTTGTCATTCATGCATCAAGAATAGTTCAGGCTCAAGCCATCAACCAGCCAACATTAAAATTAGGATGAAAGAAATTTAGTTAAGTAGATGATCTATTTTTCTCTCTCCCTCTCTTTTCTCTCTCTTCTTCTTCTCCCTTAGTCCCTACATTCCTTATACACGGGAGAGATGGGGGCATATCTGAGTTGCAACAGTTGATTCACAAATGAGTGATAATCTCCCATTCATTCTGTAATCTCCTCCTCATGGTGCCATTAAAAAAAACGTTCAAACAATCATCTTGAAACAATGGAATGATATGCTTTGTACTGTTCCCAAATTTTAGGATACAAATTACCTTGTTCTGACCTCAGAATGCTTGAAATTGCTATTCCATACTCAAAATATTTAACATATTTTGCCTATGAAATATGTCAAGAGATGGAACAAGCAGTCACTCTTCTTGAGGTTGATAGTTCTGACAGGTTTTTTTATTTAAATTATTATTATGGTTCTCAGATTCATAGCTGAATGCCATATTTTTGTACAAATATTAAAATATACTTGAGGTTGATAGTTCTGACTTAGACTTTTTATTTAAATTATTCTTACAGCTCTCAGGATAATAGTTGAATGCCATGTTTTTGTACAAATATTAAAATATACCATTCACGCAATTTGTATCAAGAGAATTACAAGTAATCCTCGACTTACAACAGTTCATTTAGTGACCATTCAAAGTCACAAAAGCACTGAAAAAAGGGACTTATGACCATTTTTCACACTTGCAATATCCCTGTAGTCATGTGATCAAAATTCAGACACTTGGCAACTAACTCATATTACGATGGTAATAGTGTCCCTGGGTCATGTGAACAACTTTTGCGACCTTCTAAGGAGCAAAGTCAATGGGAAAACCAGATTCGCTTAACAACCGTGTTGCTAACGTAGCAACTGCAGTGATTCACTTGACAACTGTGGCAAGAAAGGTTGTAAAACGGGACAAAACTTAACTGAATATCTGTCTCGCTCAGCAATCAAAACGTTGAGCTCAATAGTGGTCATAAGTCGAGGATTACCTGTACTAAATATTTTATATTGCTAGAAAGTTAAGATAGAAATGCTTAATTTACACTAATAAGTCTTTTGGGAGACAGTTCAGTGTAATGATTAAGGCGCTAGACTAGAAACCAAGAGTCTGTATGTTCTTGTCCTACCTTATGTATGATGCCAACTGAATTACCTTGGGCCAATTACACTTTCTCAGACCTAGAAAGGAGACAATAGCAAAGCATTCTTTAGGACTAATCCAGGCAGTCGCCAGAATTCAAAACTTGACTTCAAGATGCAAAAATAAATAGTTTTAAAGATAGTAGACTCACCTAAGCCTCCCTCCTTGAAGCATTGGTGTCATATTATCTGTACCTGGGATATGCATGCTGACACTTAGGATAGCCTTTGAAATAGCCACACAAGTCCTCCAAAGAATGCACCTGCTTTAACTCTTTGAGGGAATGCTTCTAATCTGTTTTGTGGAATACCCCTTCAAGAGGGCATGGCAAACTTTAGTATTGTCCATCATTGTTAAGCAGTGCTTTCTTGCTAAAATATTTCACTTAGTCTTTCAGATCAGATTGCCTTTCTGGCATGCTTCATCTGATTTAGTGTTCCAATTAGTTAAGCAAGACAAATATGCTTTGAATGCGGTTAATGTGTTCTGTACCGTGCTAATTTGAGTCTTTTCAATTTTAATTTCACAGCTGGTGGTTCGTATTATATGATTTCACGGTCATTAGGGCCAGAGTTTGGTGGAGCTGTGGGACTTTGTTTTTACTTGGGCACAACTTTCGCAGGAGCCATGTATATTCTTGGCACAATTGAAATTCTACTGGTAGGTCTTTCATTTAAGGTAATGTTTTCCTCTTAATGACAGTAGTCTGTATCTGTTTACAGAAGTACTCCAGACACAAAGGCAACAATATTTCCAGTCACTTCAAAACACCAGAGTTAAACACAAATGTTTATGTAAATGAGAAATGGCAATTTATTTTATTTATCAAATTTATGCCCACCACAATTTAATCTGATTTCTGGCAGCTTACAACAAAAATAAAATATCAAAACACGGACAAAAATAACCCCCACTGACAAAAGTCTAGAAGTGTCACTTCCTAACACTCTCTGGAAAAAAATCCATCTAACTTCTTCTAGAACAGCGGTTCTCAACCTATGGGTCGTGACCCCATTTGGGGTCGAACGACCATTTTACGGGGGTCGCCAAACAACGCGATCTGCCATTTTTCCCCCTCAGGGAGCGCCGCCGCGCATGCGCGCCGTGCATGGGGCGCCGCCACGCATGCGCGGCGCGTCCGTGTGACCGGGGGTCGCCATATAAAAAGGTTGAGAACCACTGTTCTAGAAGGTGAATAACGTCACAGCCAATTTAAAGCATATTCACCTGCAGTAACAAAAACGTGGAGGGAAATACAAATGTAAATTTCCTATGTAATAAATACCTTACCCCCTTCTCATTGTAGGGGTTGCTAACTCTAGCAGAAACAATCCTGAAGATTTCAACCTGTCCATTCTAATCAGTATGTGTATATTTGCTTAAGCATATGTCCATGTGCCATAGGGGCAGAACAAAGAAATCCCTTTATTTTGTTTAAATTAATATCAAATAATTAATTATTATTTCATTAATATTAAAATGAGTTACCCCATTTGCAGAATTAATTGATTCCTATCTGCTTATACCAACCATTCTTTCTTAACAAATACACAGACCATGTTCACATACTGGTATATAGAAATACTGAATGCACACAATCCATCATTCCGTCCAGTAAAAATAGCCAAGAAGAAATACAGGATAGAGCCTCTTGGTAAGAGAAAAGTGTAAACTACATTGGGATATGAAACAAAGACGGAAAGGAACAAAAGTGGGTGGAGATGACTCAAGGTGGAGAAGTTAAATGAGAAAGAACAAAAGGCAAGGGAGAAGTCCCACTTAGGCAAAAACATTGAGCAAGAGCCACTCCCAAGCACTATCTAATCCTCAGCATAATTTGCTCGGTGCAATATTCTTTCATTTTCATCAGTTGCTTCTCTTCTCTCAGATGTCTCCTCAGTTTATAAGGAATCATTATAAATTTATATTATTATATAATCATTATTATATATTATATTATATAATATATATTATATATATATTATATATATATTATATATATATATATTATATATATAATATATTATATATATTATATATTATATAATCATTATTATTATATAATCATTATTATAATCATTATAAATTATAAATCATTCCTATTTCCTTTATTATATATCGATATATATATTTATATATATTCATAGAGCATTCTGCTTGTCCTGGTGTTCGACCATAATGAATTGAACTGAACCAGCTATTTATTTTTTATATATTAAATTTATATGCTATCCATCTCACTGTCCAAAGTGACACTGTTGAGGTGACAAAGTTACCAGTTATCTCCTTTTTATTTTAAAACTTAGTTTAAAATTTTAGTCTATAATCTTGGAACTTTGTACTAAAACAGTATTCAATATTTGTCTTACAGAAATATATTTCTCCTAATGCTGCTATTTTTCATGGAAGCGAGGAGGCCACATTAAACAATATGAGAGTTTATGGGACGTGTATTGTTGCTCTGATGGCGATAGTTGTTTTTGTGGGAGTCAAATATGTCAATAAACTTGCATTAGTCTTCTTGGCTTGTGTAATCCTTTCAATTATGGCTATTTATGCAGGGGTTATTAAAACTGCATTTCATCCTCCGGACTTTCCGTAAGTGCATGACTACATTTAAATTTCAATGATATTTATAATATTTTAATCTTGTTAAAAGGTAAAATATAAAATACGTCCAGTAACAAATAATACTAGTGATGTTTGCATTAGAAAGGGCTAAAGCAACATCAGGTCAAGCCCTTGAAACATGTCAAAAAGTTATCCTAGGTTTTTCGAAATGATTCCATTCAAGTGTAACCATGGATGGGAGAGAACATTGTTGCAATAGAGTTTCAAAGCCTGATTGCCATGTTTTCTGATGTTTCAGATCTTTGAACCACTAATCCAGGGGTAAGCAACCTTGGCTCTTTTGTGACTCGTGGACTTCAACTCCCAGAATTCCTGAGCCAGCATGGCTGGCTCAGGAATTCTAGGAGTTGAAGTCCACAAGTCATAAAAGAGCCAAGTTTACCTACCCCTGCACTAATCTATCAGATGCATAATAGTAGTTAATTAAATTGTTGTGATCTGAGCTTTCCTAAAGATGCACAAAGAAATGTGATTGGGGTTTTTAGAACACAGTCATCTTTGTAATAGATATTTAAATGAAGCTGTTGTAGTTGCTTGCTTATCTGTAGTAAAGCCTCACATTTCAGTGTTTTAAAATTATTTTGAATTTACCTTGAATCCATATGTCCTATACCTTTGTTTGGATAGATCCTACAAAATAATTCAGATCATTCAGATCACTCTTTTGAATGCACAGAGCTTTAAATTGAATAGAACATAGAGTGCACGCACTGTTATCTCAACTGGCTAAAGATAAAGCTGTATTTCCATTTGCTTGAATATGAGTATATCTGTGGGATCTGGGGCCTTACTTTATTAAGATCCCAGTTCACATAGAGAAGGATATTTGCTTCTGACTCTGAGAATACACCTGTCCTTTCAATGTCCTAAACATAAATCTAGGGACATTTGGGAACTATAGGTTCTGAAGCCCCATTCTGTATCTAGAATGAAGCCTTTTACTTGTTGAGGTAAACGCTCACGGAGGGCCAGTATTTCTTATTGTTGTCAACATTTTAATTTCTATTTCAGTTCTTTTAAGCATATGGTTGTGCCATCCACACAACTCCCTAATCTCTTACGATCTTCACAGATCATAAATGATCTTCAATCATTTATTAAATTCTCAATACACATTTCAGTTTGTGGAAACATTCCCTTACTATCTGATACTTCACTACCTAAATAATAACCCAAATAATAGACAATTACATTGGGGAGAGATCAAAATACAGTATCTGTGCATCCTCACTCATACAGACAACCGAAGGAGTTTTCAAAACAGCTACATGGGCCTTACACTATACTAGCCTTGTACATAATACTGTTGCTTTAGTGATTCCAAAGAGGTACACTATACTTGCATCCAAATTTTAAGAAGGACCTCTTTTGAAACCTTGCTCAACCCAAGTAAAGAAATGTGAACATTCAAATCAGTGTTGGCTCCTGGCAACTGTCTGGATTACTCCCTGCAGTTTTCTTGGCAAGATTTTCTGAAGTGGTTTGCCATTACCTCTTTTATAAGGCTGACAGAGAGAAGGAATGGCTGAAAGTTACCCAGCAGGCTTTGGGCCTAAATTGGGATTCGAATTTACAGGCTTTTGGGTTTCTAGCCTTCTGCCTTAACCATTACACCACATTGGCTCTCTGTGAACACATATACAGCATATCCTTTTTATCTACAGTAAAGCCATTTCAAATAGAACAGCAACAATTCCAGAAGTTACCATGTCTAGCCCCTCTCCCTCCCTTTGTTTCTTTTTTTAAGAATTCCCCAATAACACCCTTTTTGAAATATTTTGATGCCACATGATATTAATAAAAAGTAATTTAAGATTATTGCAGACTATTTCCTTTATAAGCAGAGCTGATAATATAAGCTAGAAGTAGGACATAGGTGTCAACAATAGTTTAAGATTTATTGTCTTTGTTAAGTGCCTTTTAAATTATTTGTTTAATTGTGTTTTCTAGTGTATGTCTTCTTGGAAACCGTACCCTAATAAAAGATAAGGATTTTCCCTGTGCTAAATATATTGAAAAAAACAACATAACAGTAACCACCCAGTTGTGGAGATGGTTTTGTGGCAATAATCCCAACTTAAATGCTACATGTGATGAGTATTTTCAGTTAAATAATGTCACAAAAATCCAAGGTATTCCTGGAATTAAAAGTGGCGTCTTACTTGGTGAGTCTGGAATTCAAGTGGAAATTATTTTGGGAAGTGGAAAATTTTTGAACTAGTGATTTTGAACTGATAGTAAGAATTTTATTAATATGATCAATACAAATTGCTCCTTAATTTAAAGGAATCACAAAACAAATGGCAGCCTTTGTTTAACCCCTTTTCTCTGTGCATTTAACTTTGAATTCCTGATTTATTTGTTGCATATGTTCAGACTGTTTTATGATTCCATTTGATTTGTCCTAGCTGTACATAATATTTTTTCCACAGTTTCACTGGGGTATTGGCTATATCATCATCATCATTTTTATGAAGTAGATATTTTTTCCCAGAGACAGAGAAAGCTTTGTAATTGGTAAGTTTGGGACAGAATGAGTAGTGAGGCTAAGTTTAAAGATTTTTGAATCAGGACTGGTTTATATATTTTAAAAAATGGTTGTGAGTGATCAAAATCTTCTGTTTTTTTCCATGGCAGATAATTTGTGGAGCAGCTATTCAGACAAAGGAACAATTGTGGAAAAACAGGAACTTCCTTCAGTTCCTGTTTTAGATGAAGCAAAAGATGAACAAGCCTATTATATATATACAGATATCATGACTTATTTCACCATTCTAGTAGGGATTTATTTTCCTTCTGTGACAGGTATTGTTTCATCCTTTCTGCCTCCTATAAGAAAATGTAGTTATTATAATTATTTATCTAAAATTTTGTTTAACGGCATTTCAGGGTCCTAACCTCACACAATGACATATGTAAAAATAAATGGCAGTATAGATAATTGATGATGGCGGGCAGAAAGCTCAATTCCCAGGAGGGAGGAAGTGCATTTAGAGGAGTAAAAGGCAGTCCAGTCCAGATATTTTATGTGAGAAAAAGACAGTGAAGACAACCCCTCCCTAATAGTTCTCAGACTGTATGCTTAATGTAGATCATGGGTGCCAAACTTGATCATGTCACATGATGTATTATGACGTATTGCGATTTTTCTGCCTTTGAGGAGTTGGGGTGAGCGTGCCCTGCGCATGACTCATCTGGCCCACAGGCCGCCAGTTTGCCACTCCTGATGTAGATAGTAGAGTGCTTCAGTTTATCAGGAGTCTGCCTGTAAGTGTGGATCAATAAGGAATTCTGCTTGGAAGAATCACCACGTTTTTCCTCCTTTTGGGATTTGAGTCCCAAACTGAAAAAGCCTTTTGGATGAGAAGCGAAACATCTTCAAGGAGAAAACAACGCCTAGTTGCCTTTTGAAAAAAAGTACTTTTGGGATAAAGTTGGAAATTATGACTACTGACACATATTTATTAACATTTTAAAAGTGCAACCTCGAAGAATATAGTACCCATGACAATGGATCAGAGTTATGACATTATTGTACTTAACACATTTCATACCCAATGAGCTTATTTGCAAGGAAAACAACAGGCAAGGATATCAAAGGTGATTTCCAAGAGAAATAGGCTCCTCCATCTAATATTGCCTGCCTACTAAAAATGTTAAGACAGTACTGTACAACAATCAAATAATCGGTTTCTCCTGAAACAGTTGTAGCAGAACCACATATTTTAGCACCTTGAATGAATTCTAGAATGCTAGCATCAAGAATGAAACATTAGAGACCAAGCAGAAATTATTCAGTATATGTTTGGATTCAAAGAAGGCAACCCCCCTTCCAAATCTATTTTTACGAGGCTGGAAAAAACAGTCATCAACTACAGTCTTTGTAGGTCTCACCTCGTAAGACTTCTGTATACATTTTTGAGTAACACAAATTAAATACTGGTGCAGAGAAGAACAGTTTCTTCATTGACAGCACAAACTCTAGCACCCCAGCAAACACATTTGCATGCAACCTAATCTTTATGACATATTTCAGGTCAATATACTCATTCAGATCCTGGTTAGCTACTATTTGTATGTTTGTTTTCTTCACTGTCCAAGAATTCAGCACAGCAATAACTTCAACACATAAGGACTTTACCAAAACTGTCTCTAAGGTAGATGGGTGGTTCTTAAATACAATAAATAAATAAATAAATGAGTTTTTGAAATGGAGAGTTGCAATAAATTCTATTGCATTACTTTTCACTTCTCCCCATCTTTTTCTTATCTTTGTAATAAGCACTTTGGCCATATCCTTTTTTTCATAATATTTTATTAATTTTCTAATTTTACAATTAAACATTTAAAAAGCAACGTGGTGACTGGGTAATCAATGATTCCATAACAAATCTTTAGCACAAATCTCAAGTTACAACATCAAATATTTCCTCTTTTTTTCCCTTAATATCTACTATCTCATATTGAATTAATATGATTCTTATTGTTATCAACTAAGTAAAAGTATCTTTGTTACATTAATCAGTAATTTTGAACTCCTAATATCTTAATGGTGTTTACATTCAATCTTATATACATCAGTGTCCTATTGTAGCTTTTTTCCCAGGCTTTAATTTCCCCTCAATATTCAACTTAACATTTGGTATGTTATAATTTCTAAGCTTTAAGTGACTAGAGTTTCCCTTATCTCAACTTCTACATTTTCCCCCTTTTATAGCAAAATCTAATATTCTAAATATACATCTTATCTATTTGCATATAATCTTATTCTATTTTCTAAAAAAATCTTTTTTTACCATATTAAACCAAAACTCTATTAATCTTATTACACATCTTACCTATTCAGTTATAATGTTACTTTATTTTCTAAAAAAATTATCTATATTCGACCATCTTCAACCCTCTAATCAATAGTATAAAATCCCCCCTAATAAATCAAAACCCTAGTTTCTTTCAGCCTTACTCTGGCTTTTTTCCTTTGACAACTAACCATCCATGTCAGTACTTTTAATTCAACAAACAGTTCTCCCTCTATTATTAGGTGTATTATTTGAATTAAGAAAAACCATTTAATTACATTTTTTTTGGAAGAACTAGCCCCATTATATTTCTTTGGTCGCCTCCCCATTATTCCAGTTTCCCACAGTGGTCCTGATAAGTTTATCTTCCGTTCAGTCTGTTGTTCTTCCTTTTCCTCAAGTTTCTTCTGATTTATGAAAAAATATTTCCATATTCAATGTTGTCACTCTCTTTTCTAATTTCCCCATTGGCTGGATCTGTTGGTCAGTTGGGTTTCTCTGTCTTAATATTTAGTTGTTCCATTTCTCCTGTTGCTTTCTGCATTATTGGGTCTTTGGTTGTAGTCAAAATCTGGATTTGTATATCTAAGCTGGGATCTTGTTCCTTTATGTTGCCTCTTATTTTGTTACATGCTGAAAGAATAGTTTTATGTATAGATTTCAACATAGAAAGGATTTTTTCCTGATCTTCATCCATATTCTCTTGATAATGTATTAAGTTAAGGATTTTAAAATCAAATGTTAAAAATAGTTTTTGTAGCTAGATGTGTGACATCTATTTCACGTGTTGGAGATAGTCTTATAGTGGAAATTGTTTGGCAGGTAAAAATTTATATCCAAAGTATGCCATCATCTCATCTAGTAACAAAGACTTCTCATGTAAAGAAATAGGAAAATAATTTCCCACATATAATTCTGAAAGTCAATAAAGGTTTATCTTCATAGTTCAAACAGGCCAGATAAACCACCTTGCAGTTCTTTCTTTACAGCTGTGTTTCTGTCAAGTTTGAGAGAGTTTTTTCTAAGTTCTGGGCTTCAAGCCAAGTCTCTTTTAGTCAATAACAAATTGTAATACCATATTTCACCACAAGATGCCACCAATGCCATTTAAAACTTTTTAAGTCCCGATTTTTAATAATAGTTCTTCAAGGTTTATTTCTTTTCTTTTTAAATAAAAGCCAATATCTCCAGTAAGAATAGGAAAACTTTTCGTTCCCAAATTTTAAAAGTATATGCATCCAGTTAAATTAGAATTTTTCTTATAATTGCTCTTTTTCCCTGGGTAGTCAGTCGTCGCTGTTCTTAGAGGGTGGGGTAAGAATTCCCTTCCCTCTCTCCTCACAGGGAGAGAAATACTTGGGGCAACTTTTGCAGGAAAAATATTTAAAGTATTAAAGAGAAGATCAGATCTCATCCAGTTTCATCCATGTTGCTTTAAAGATGCTTGGTTGTAGTTTTGACTTCGGCTGTCAGCAGCTTAATAACGAGCCATATTGCTATGGCCGGTCTTTTCCTTGATGGTTTGGAGAGGAAGTGCTGCCACCCTTCCGCGATCGAGCGGGGTCCTCTCCTTGCTTGTCACCCCTACAGGGCGATTTCGACCCTTTCCAGGGTCCCCCAGCGGGATAAAACTGGATGCTGTAGACAGAGCTCGCCTCCATACGTCTGCCAGTGCTGTGATGGCAAACCGGAAGTCAGCACTTTGGCCATTTCTTTATTATTTTAAAGAGTGTATGGCTTGTTTGTAACAGCCTTCCCCCTGTAATAGTTTACAATCTACAACATATAGACATCCTTTTTCTCAAACAAGTGGGGCAGTATATATACTATTTATGGACTAAGGCGAATATGGACAGCCTGTTTGCAACATGTGTTACTTTGTCTCCTTGCTGTGCTTTGCACAAAAAGATAGATTTTAACAGCAAAATGTTTCCTTTTCTTTTTTGCAAAATAATACCTAAAATAGTGTAATGAAAATGAAGAATTTCCCCTCAATATTCTCTCCCTAACCCCAATTGAAAAAAATAATTTTTTTCCGTTGCATTCTCTCCTTGCTGCATATTGCCACATTCTCTGTTGCTTGAAATACTGATTTTCCCAAGTGCAGATCCAGTTGCAGAAGAGTTCCTCTCCCTGTCCTTGGAGATTAGTATCCCTAGAAGTTAAACCCCAGCCAAGCCAGTATTAATTTCTTTTATCATTCAGCTTTAGAAAGCTGATGCAAGTTGATGGAATTTAACAGGAAGCTCCTGCTGAAAAGTCCCTAATAATGTTTAAGTCTCCCAAAGGGGTCAGAATTATTTTGCCCTAGAACACTCTAAGCAAGCTGCCAAGCCAAGGAAATGGTCCACTCTCTGTCACCAAGTGGGAGAGCCTGTGTTCGGGGTACTATTCTGTCCCTATTAAGGATAAATACTGTACTTGTATTTAAGAAAACACAAGCCACGCACCCGAAAAGACCTTTCGTTTTCTTGAGTACTTTTAATTCTCTTTATCAACAATTCTAAACTCTCTCTCTTTTGGTTAACCTTCCTAGCTACAGGTAGTTCTCAACTTACAATAGTTTGTTTGGTGATTGATCAAAGTTACAATGGCACTGGAGAAAGTGACTTATGACCGTTTCTCACGCTTATGACCGTTGTAGCATCCTTATGGTCATGTGATCAAAATTTAGATGCTTGGCAACTGGTTCATATTTATGACGGCTGCAGTGTCCTGGGGTCACATGATTATCTTTTGTGACCTTCTGACAACTGAAGTCAGTGGAGAAGCCAGATTCTTAACAACTGTGTTGCTAACTTAACAACTGCAGTGATTCACTTAACAATTGTGGCAAGAAAAAGTCATAAAATGGGGCAAAACTCACTTTTGTTAAGAGATGTCTTGCTTAGCAACATAAGTTTTGGCCTCCATAAGTCAAGAACTACCTGTAATTTTTTTTTTATTTTTGCCAAGAAACCTTTTGGAATTCTACAGAAGATTCTGAGGAATAGACTTTACCACTACATTATGCTATCCTGTTCAGGTAGTTTTCACTTATTCATTTCTTGTCACCTGCACTGCTCAAACAGTACAGAACAAGAATGTGACAACATTATTAATAACTGTCTTATGTCCATGGAGCAGGTTTGTTCCATATCTCATAATTTCATATAGGCAAAGTATGTACTAGACATTGGCATACATGTTGGGTTACTGAAAAAATTCTGCTTGTTTTAAATTCAAATTTAAATTTTTAATTCCTGAAAAAAACTTGCAGTTTATTCTGGTTTCACTAATGTCCCTCAAGTTTTTTTCCACTGCTCAAGGTTCTTCAGTTACGGTGTTCCTGATTTGAAATATAATCTAATTTAAAAAGGAAACATTAAACTTAATAATGACAAAGAAAATACTGATTATGCTTTATGCCAAAGAAGAAATTAAATTGGAAATTTGACAGCGGCTGGTACTGTGCCTTAAAATGTGGTCTCTGTGTTCCTTTCCCTGAGTAATGAAAGAGGGTATCTGGATTTGTTCCCTCATGTAAAAGATACTGTTGAAATGTCATATAGTCATCATGGTTACACATTCTTAACAATAAATTGTCTGAAACATCTCCAACCAGTAATGGACAATTTGAACTCCTGCACTGTCATCTTATACTGTCTTGGGATACAGGAGGATCTGGACAGACTTGAACACTGGGCACTATCTAACAAAATAAAATTCAGTGGTGAAAAAGTAAGGTTCTACATTTAGGCAAGAAAAACCAAATGTACAGATATAGTGTAGAGGGTACCTTGCTCAATAGTAGTAACTGTGAGAGGGACCTCGGAGTCCTAGTGCACAATCACTTAAATATGAGCCAGCAGTGTGCTGCAGCTGCCAAAAAAGCCAACACAGTGCTAGGCTGCATTAACAGAGGGATAGAATCAAGATCACGTGAAGTATTAATACCACTTTGCAATGCCTTGGTAAGGCCGCACTTGGAATACTGCATCCAGTTTTGGTCACCACGATGTAAAAAAGATGTTGAGACTCTAGAAAGAGTACAGAGAAGAGCAACAAAGATGATTAGGGGACTGGAGGCTAAAACATATAAGGAATGGTTGCTGGAATTGGGTATGTCTAGTTTAGCAAAGAGAAGGACGAGGGGGGACATGATAGCAGTGTTCCAATATCTCAGGGGCTGCCATAAAGAAGAGGGAGTCAAGCTATTTTCCAAAGCTCCTGAAGGCAGGATAAGAAGCAACGGATGGAAACTAATCAAGGAGAGAAGCAACCTAGAACTAAGGAGAAACTTCCTGACGGTTAGAACAATTAACCAGTGGAACAACTTGCCTCCAGAAGCAGTGAATGCTCTAACACTGGAAGTTTTTAAGAAGAAACTGGACAGCCATTTGTCCGAAATGGTATAGGGTTTCCTGCCTGAGCAGGGGGTTGGACTTGATGACCTCCAAAGTCCCTTCCAACTTTATTATTATTATTATTATTATTATTATTATTATTATTATTATTATTATTATTATTCGCGGCAAATTAAGGTAGATTTCAGTTTCAGCCTTTGGCATATGTGTGCATTTTATTTTGAAATTAATCAGGCTTCAATGATGAACAAATACTCCCACTGAAAAAATATTCCTGTTGGCCAGCCGTTAAAGTTAATAAGAGGATACATTGCTTGTACATTTGGTGGCAGTTTTAATGTAAGATATATAAGGAATTTGTAGTCATTACAGTAGAAACAAAAATGTTTCTCTCCAATGGATTTCAGCAAGTGGATTATTCTGTTTGGTGGTATTAAGTAGACCCTCATTCTTCCAAGGATTAAACAGTCCAAAGTATTATTACATTTATAAAACAACATAATTTCCTGAGTTCTAAATTGTATTTTGTGGAGTTTTTTGCGTTCTGTTTTAGGTTAAGATTATGTAATTTCTTTGTTTTATAGTCATCTGTTACAATAAATAAGCATATAATCTTACACAATATGAATGAATAAATAGAAAACTGAATTCTGTCTTTACAGAGATAAAACGCAACACAGACAACCTATTAATAAGTAAAACAAACACTTGGGAGTTATTGATTTTATTCTTTTTATATTGGTTTTTTATTGTTTGTAAGCCTTCTAGAGTCACTGAGGGTGAGTGGGTGGCCATATAAATCCAATAAATAAAACAATTAACCCATGAGGAAGAATAGAAAACACATTTTTCTGCCTCAATACTCTTCTGCATATTGAAAAATAATTATTATTCTACTTTCCCAAACCTTGTTTATTTTCTTTCTCATTTTCTGATAGACTGTATTAGAAATTTGTTTTAAATCATAATTGGTCATTGTCTAATTTTCTCAATGAATGAATGAAGGCAGTTAAGCTTAGTTTGTTGCTTTTTATATAAACATTTAATTTCTTAATGTATTCACTTAACTTCAGTTCAAATAATGAACTAAACAGATTGCTCTGTTCCTTAATGACATTTTTAATAAATTATTTTGTCCTTGTGTTTAGGTATTATGGCAGGTTCAAATCGGTCTGGAGATCTTCGGGATGCTCAAAAATCTATTCCAACTGGAACAATTTTAGCCATCTCAACTACATCATTTATCTGTATCCTTTTTATGCAATTTCAAGAACATCCTAACTTCTGTATTTAGTAAATATACTAGAATATTGAGAGCCATCTATACTGTATATACTCCAAAGCAAATAACTAATACTGTATATTACAGTAAATTCTAATTTTTGCAGAATTCTAAATGTTTCATTTAAGTTTTAGATTTTTATTTATGTAAAAATTTAAAATTAGAGTTAACCAGACTTTAAGCTGAAATTTTACCTTTCTGTGAATAGGAATGAATAAACTTATTATTTGGCGTACATACTTTAATTCTCATAAATAAAAATCAATAAAATTTAAGATAATACTGATAAAAGATACATTAAATAGATACATTCTACACTAGATTTAATATATATTGTGAGATTATATGAAAAACTAGCTATTAGCACATTACAAATAACAGTTTTGAAATGTTATGTGAAAAAAGGGCCTTCCTTGCACATTTTTATTTTATGTACGTGTGAAAACAATAGAGAGCTAAATACAAATGTGATAATTTTTGTGATAGAATTAATTAGATATTCAACTCTTAACACGTTCATTTTTTTCTTCAAAATGTTCTTTAATGCTAGCAGTGTACAGTGTTAAGGAGCACTTCTCCCAATTTTGTTTGCTTTAAAGTTCCTTAAGTCATATTTTACAGATCTTTCCTGTATAATTCTTTTTGGAGCCTGCATAGAAGGCGTGGTTTTGAGAGACAAGTATGTAGAAAGAGCTTTTCTCATGTTCTTTGTAAAATCTATATATTTAAAATTAAGATATAAAATTTTAAGTGAATGAATGTGTGAAATGAGAAAGTAAAATACTAGAAAAATAAAAAGCAGCTTTTTTTGTGGGGGGGGACAGATGTCCTTCCTCAGGTGCATTTTTGTTCGTCATAAGAAAAGTGTGTATGCCAACACTTCTACATTTTTCTGAAGGGAGTTTTTTAAATTAAGTTAGTGATTTTGTGTGTATAATTTATTTAGCTCTCGTTTGTTTAATGTTGCATGTGTTCTTTCCCACAAGATTTGGACAAGCAGTTAATGGAAACCTAGTGATTGGTACATTGGCATGGCCCTCTCCATGGGTTATTGTAATTGGTTCATTCTTTTCCACATGTGGTGCTGGTCTTCAGAGTCTCACTGGTGCCCCCCGGCTACTGCAGGCAATTGCAAGAGATGGCATTGTTCCATTTCTTCAGGTGAATTTCTGTGTTTATTTTTTATTTTATTTATCTTTGGTGTAAAAGGAATCTATTTGGTAGGTATGTTATTCATTTGTTTAACTGTAGTTTTTTCCCACTTGTGCTGATAGTGGTAGCCAGATTTAATGAGAGGTTTCTAAGGCAGTCATAGCCTGTAAGAGAGAAGGACATTCAAACCTTATGATGCAAGAGAAGATCTAATATCATGATAGCAGGCTGAGATTACTGGATCACATGATATCAAAAGAGGAGAGCCATAATAGCGTATCATTGCAAAAAAAAAAATCGATTTCCATCCCACTTTTCTCCCTCACCCCCAATTTAAATCCTACATCAGACAAGCCATTTCATGCTTCTGATGAAATTGTGTGTGTGTGTGTGTGTGTGTATGTGTGAGTAATACACACACACACACACACACATATATATATATACATATACAAATATACATATACATTACACACACCATATTTCTACTCTCCTGTATAAATTGGAATTTCAAATGTGGCTACTGTGCTAAGTCAAGCATTGATTGTGTCACTTTCTCCAAACCGACTTGCTGCCGAGAAGCACAACTGAACACCTTTAGATTAAGTGGATGGAGAGGAGATGGGGCCAGGAACCTGAAGATATATTGCTCCCGTACTTAGATAGCGCTAAAGAATTAACTGATGGCTGTCTGTTCAGAGCCGCAATCCTTTCAGACCGATTTGACCTCATTTCACCTACTGTGGCTTACAGAGCAATTCAGCTGGTCTAAATAAAGCAGGGGACAGTACAATAAGTCTATGCTGCTGCTTGCTAACTATAACTGCAGTAACAGTTGCTGCTATCATGTTTGCCTATTACAAAGGGTATTCTTTTCATCACCTCACCATCAGAATGGCAATGTATAGGTCACAATGTATGCTAGCCACAACCACACAGGAGTAGTTACTCCAGACAAGTGAAGAAGTGATCATAAAATTAGAATGGGGAAAGGAAGGAAGATCAAGGCAAATCAAGTATGCATCATCATTCAAATGAGTCATACTATCGGTTTTTATGTTTGTAGGATAAGATAAAGAGGAATCAAATTTAGTGAAGGTGAATAACTGACTTCCAGTTGTAAAATTGCAGTTATCAGATTGATGTACAAGACTGAGCTGTCCCTGCAGTTTATTGATTATGTTCGGTAGAAAAGAGGTTATTGTAAGTAGCTGGAAACCTAGTTTGTAATTTATTATACATTTACTAGTTTTGAGCCACAAAAATCTGGATAATTGCAGTGAAAATTATTTTTTAGTATCTCTTTGTGTAATCTAATAAATGTCCAGAATTTTGCAGCCCAAATCTTGGAGTCCTAATCTGATAGTGCCATATACATGTCTCCTTTTCACTCTCTGAGCCTATTTTTATTCAATATATATAAGTCTGGCAAACCATGGGTTGTTTAATAATGGACTACTGCAAGAATTATCAAAGCATGGGAATGTCAGAGCCCCGGAGAGAAGTTGCAATTGTTTGGAAAGTATAGAACCATGTTGACAATGCTCCTGCTTTAAGTGGAAGCACAGCCCCAAATTCCTGCAATTTTGCCCAGACCAGTCCACAGAGGAAGCAGGAAATGGATTCTGTGAAGATTGACAAGCATGTAAGTTTGACTATTGGTCAACATCATCCATCAACCATAGGACTTTTATTTGGTTATTTATTTATTGGGGAGTTGACACAAAGTACTTTAGTCTTTGAGAGATTCTGTGATAATTATACTCTGTTTTATATTTGTTTTATATAGCTTTGTATTATGTTGTAAATATATTTTCATAATTAGTTTTTTGGGGTTTATGATGAACCAGGGCAAAAATGAAATAATAATCTCCACATGATTTTGATTGTATCTACTACTGTTCATTACTGTTGCCTCTGCTAACTAATTTCTTGAAATTCATTCAAAACAATATGAGGCCTTTACTATTGGAGCTGATCTTTTCAAAGCCTGTGTAATAATTAGTTTTGATCTCATCAGAAATTGTTCAATGGAACATATTCACTGAGATTGCCATAAAGCAGAGAATTTATTTTTAAAATCAATATTTTCTTTTCCTTGGGTATCTGATGTAATACAGATAGTCCTCAACCTATAATCATTCATTCAACAATGAATGAATTTGAAGTTATGATGGCATTGAACAAATAGTAGTTACAGACAGTGCTTGGAGTTCTGGTCATCCCTACCATCATGTAATTTTGACCTTGGCAAGCAGCTCACACTTAAAACTGGTTAGAGGGCTTTTTGATCATGTGATCATCATTTGAGCTGCTGCTTCCCCAGAAAGCCAATGGGAAAGCTGGCAAGGATGGTCTCTACTACCTGCACACTTTACTGTTTGCTTTTGCTAGCCACTAGTGCACCTTACCCGAGCCTCCCTTGCAACTCTGAGCCTCACCACACCACTTTCACACACCCCTGCATACCCTGTTCAAGCCTTTCCATGCTACATTTGCACATCTCCTCCCACACTTAACTGTGCCTCCCTTGCACACCCTTATGCACTCTCCCCTGAGCCTCACTGTGCCTCCCTTGCCCCTTTGTGCATCCCTCTGGCAGCACAGCCTCTTAGCTGCCTGCTGGTCTGCTTGTGAACTGCCTGGGATTTGCAATTTCTTGCTGGCTTCTTCGCTGACTTGGTTGTGGGAAGCTGGCAAGGAGTTGACCATGGAACTCTGTTAACAATGGCAACTGGGATTACAGGTATAATAGCCATCACTTAGCGATGGAAATTTGAGTCCCAGTTGCCATTTTATGTCTACTTATATTCCAAAGATGGTATGCCAATCTAAGCTTGAAGTGTATACTTACTTCGAACTAAGCTGCTTCAGATTTGTGACTTTCAAAAATTATAGAAGATAACCTACTGCAGTTGATAATTATACTTGAACTGTGTATCTTTTCAATAAACACAGTTATGTTTTTTTAAGGTGTTTGGTCATGGAAAAGCAAATGGAGAACCTACATGGGCTTTGCTCCTCACTGCATTTATTTGTGAGATTGGAATTCTTATTGCTTCTCTGGATAGTGTGGCTCCAATACTCTCCATGTAGGTATATCTGTGTAGATTTTAACATATTTGTCTTGTAATTTATCTTAAAATCATTTTAAAAATGCAGTCTTATTTTTAGGAAGCACTCCAGTAAAGTTGGGTCATAAGAAGTCATAAGAAGTTCCAGAGACAATGTCAAAAAAGACAAAATTAATAGAACAACTTTAAAAGGAATAGAATTGTTTTAATAAAACCCTAAAGCTAAAATTGAAGAATAGGCAAAATAAAATATTTTAAAGAATCATTCTTATATAAAAAGTGGACTATTGCAATAACAGATGCAAGAGATAGTGTGATGTTTAGTTACATCAAAAAGATAAATAATGTTATATTAAAAACAATATCAGACAATAACAGTCGGTTAGGGAAAAGAGAAAATGAAAGATGGATTAAGAATTTTTCCTGCAAATTTAATACAAATTCTTACTTGCATTTGTAACAATATATATACACTGGTGATGATTTGAGAATATTGCTCTGAGAAAGTGAGAGAAACTGCACCTTGCACTCGGTCTGGGACTACTGACCGAGCACTCACTCCACTTATAATATGTCATTCAATCAGGCATTTCCCATCTGTAGCTGGTAAGATGACACAGAGCCAAAGTTGTTGGGAGAAATGCTTATATGACAGAAAGATACACGTTTAATGCTAGGTCTGTGCTCACAAATCTCCTGGTCACTTTTTGCCCTTTGAATCTGGATGATTGCACTGCGCTATCAAGCACTCTCATTGCGTACATTTTCAGTCCTTTTGTGTGGCATGAGGTTGCAGTACATTTGTAACCCCACAGTAGGGAGGCCATAGCAAAAAACGTAGGTTTCCTGTTTACAGTGGCTGCGAAGAAGGAGAAAATCTCTCCTTTAAAGGTGACACGGAAACGTAAGTTGTGTGTGTCTCTTTAGACCAGTGGTTCTCAACCTTTCTAATGCCGCGACCCCATAATACAGTTCCCCATGTTGTGGTGACCCCCAACCAGTTATACATCACCAGGTGCCAGGGGCGTGGCCAAAGAAAAGGGGAAAAAATGGCGGACAGCCTTTTTTGGCGACCCCCATGAAATGGTCGTTCGACCCCAAATGGGGTCTCGACCCACAGGTTGAGAACCACTGGTTTAGACTTTCCCCACAGTAATAGATTCAGGGGAAAGTTTCCTCTCTCTTTTACTGACAAAGATGTTAAAAATCGGATGGAGAAATAACACTGTTATTTGTTTCTCCACTACCAGCTTTTTACTTTCTTTCACAAGTGAGCATCAAACTCATAAAGCACAAGGTTGGGATAGGCATTATAGTATATTATGGAACGATGCCCTTTTTTATTTAATGTTGTGAAGTGGAATATAGAATCACACTCTGGCAAGTTTTGTCTCTTTTTTAATAGCTCAAAATTCAGTTTTTGTGTTAGTCTGAAAAGAACTTTTGCTTTTTTGAAACTGCAGAAAGGCAACAAATCACATGTCACATCACTTAATTGTCTTTAGTGAAAGCCGTTAGTGCTACCTGGAGGCTAATCTGTGTTCTCAGGGTCACCTGAGTGGTGCAAATGTGTATGGAACCTTCTTGGAACTGTTGAAAGGACTGCATTGTAGACTGGAGATAGATGATGTTGTATCAGGTGACCCTGAGGACACAGATAAGCCTCCAGGTAGCACTAACGACTCGCTAAAAGAAAGCAAATGACCAGCTGTTTGCAAGGAGTATAAATCTTTCCATTCCCCACCATCCAGTCAGAATTGAAGAAGCTTCTTGGATGAGAAGTGAAACGTCTTCAAAGAAAAAACAAAAAAGTCCAGTTGCCTCGTGAAAAAAAAGCATCTTTGAGATAACTATGACCTGGATGACTGAGAATCTCCATAGATGTTTACCATCAGAATTTTTTTAAGATTGCAATTTCTATCTGTAACTTTGTCCTCTTCTTTCACTGGATTATCTCTGTTCCCATGTCTTGAGTGAATAGTGCTATTCATTTAAATTATAAACATGTTTTTCCCTAGGTTTTTCCTTATGTGCTATCTGTTTGTGAACTTGGCATGTGCAGTTCAGACTCTTCTCCGAACACCAAACTGGAGACCTCGTTTCAAATATTATCACTGGTACGCCATGTTCTTTACTAATTTAATTCTGGAAGCATTTGGTTTATAAATTTATTCTTTTTTAAGATAACTTACATTTTTAGTTATAAAATATTTTTATTTGTTTTATTTGCATATTTACTTCAAGACTCTATAAGAGAATACAGTTTTGTATAAGAAATAAAGGAAAGAGAGTTATTTCCCATTATTCCATAAGAGAACAGGAAAATAGATAACAAGAACAAAGTATTATTTCTGACTGAACAGAATATAGGAATTGGAAGCATATCTCACTGCACAAATTAGAGCTTAAACAGACTTCACATATACAATTTCACTTATAAATGTTCCTAAAAGATTTATAGAGTTATTTTTATTTATAGACTTCTGATGCATATTCTAATAAATTGATAATCTAGTAATGGGTTGCACTGGAAATTTCTTATTTAGTGCAGAACATTTATGTATGAATTTATGTAACTAGTCTTATAAAAATCACGGTGAATGAAATCAATTCTGACTGATATAATTTTAACCCTTGAAAATTAGCTTAAAACAAATAGTACAGATTAGCTTCACCCAATAATAATAATAATAATAATAATAATAATTATTATTATTATTATTATTATTACCCAAGTCCTGATGAATGAACCAGGATTTAATAGATTTTTTTTTTAACCAGAATGGAGGCCTCCACTAAGACATTTGGGGGAATGCTGTTCCTTAATATAGGAACAATATTTGAGAAGGCCCACTTACATAATTCCCAACAATGACAGTGGAATGACACAGTGGGCTACCCTACAATATCTAAATGGGCAGATATTATAGAGAGAAAGTATTCCTGCACATATCCTAAACCATGCAGGGCTTTGGAGGTGACAATCAAATTAAAACATAACAAACAGTTAATGCCGTAGTTTTGCTTGTAGTATGAAAAAATAGTATACATTGGAAAGAAAGTATCTGATAGAACATGCATATATTTCCAAAAGAAAAATGGTTTCTGGGTACATCTTTGGAATAATTCTAAATCTTTACATTTTTTTATTTAGAAAGACAGCCTTATGTTATAAATTTAGCATTATAATTTGTGGACGCCAGTTCATTTTGTAACATTGAAACCATGTCACAGAATTATTATACATTACCTTGAATTCCTTGGAAAAAGCCAGGCATAGAATATGATTAATTGTTGTATTAGCATTATTCTGTTAAGCATGTATATGGAATGATGTTAGTTTAGAAACTCTGTCATTGTATTAGATTAAGTAGAACATATACATAAATTTGCCCAACTAAGCCCCTGTTTCCTTTCAGGACTCTTTCATTCTTAGGAATGAGTTTGTGTCTTGCTTTGATGTTCATTTGCTCTTGGTACTATGCCTTGGTTGCCATGCTAATTGCAGGATGCATTTATAAATACATAGAATACAGAGGGTAAGCATATACATTTATTTATTGTTTGATTAAAAACATTAATACATTTGGGGAAAGTAATTTTTATGACAAGCGCACAACATTTAATTAAAAGTGTTATTTATACTATATGTCATTTAATATTTTGTTGCAATGTTCTTTAAAAAATACACTAATTATATATTTATTCCATGTGCATTTTGCAGCTATTTTGTACTTTTATTTTAAGAAAGAAACTAATGCTGAATATTACATTACTAGAAATATGTAAAAATAGATTATATATAGTAGGAATAAACAAGTTAATACTCACTGGATGCTTTAAAATATAAATCGTGCTTTCCTTGCCTATGTTGCCTGTGCTTTTGCAGTTTGTAATCCAACATATCTGGTGAAAATCAGATTGTTACCCTGATCTGTAGATAAATATTACCATGCATCCCCTAATTACTTATTATATGGGTCTATAAATAAAATAAAAAAATTTATTTATTAAAAATAAAATAATATTACGGGAATTAGTTGTTTCATGATTGGGAAAAAAGCTAGGTATACAAACATTTCCATTTTAGGGGAAAATATGGGATGGAATGGATTTATTCAAGTTTTGATGTACCCAAAAACAAAGATGAGATCCAATCAAGACTCTTGAAATGAATGTACAATTGTGATTTATGCTATGATCATTTATTTCAATGACATGGTAATGGTTATGTTGTATTTTATATGTAAAATATAGATTATAGATGACAAAATTTAGTTGTGATGTGTTATTTATACTGCAAAGAACCTGGTCATCCATTCTGGTTACTCTGTAATCCACTAAATACTGACTGCAAATATTACATACATTTTCTTCTCTTCTTTGTTGCTATCAGTCAGTAAATTTTAAGCACATATCTATTAAAAAAAAATTTTTTACAGTTTCAAGCTCTTTACCAATCCTGCATTCATGGACTTTCATTCATACATTTGTTAAATTTCAATAATTGCCGATTGATAGCAGTCAGATAAATTACTTGTCTGAAACAAAGTATAATGTATAAAATTGTGCCCCTGAACCCCCTTTATATTATCTATTGTATCAAAAGAAAATAGAACTATCACAAATATGTAATGTTGTTTCTCCTTTTAAGAGCTGAAAAAGAATGGGGAGATGGAATCCGAGGTTTGTCCTTAAATGCTGCTCGTTATGCTCTACTTCGACTTGACCATGGTCACCCTCATACCAAAAATTGGAGGTAAGAATATATTTAATATTTAACACATCAAATCCTGTTTCCAATTATCTGAGGATAAATGTAACAGGGAGAGCTCACCTGTAAATTGAAGTGCAAATATATTGAAAATAAATATAATATTGTGAAATGCTGTATTATTGTGTTGGGAAATTATGATCACCCTCTATAGAGTTGTCTACAATTCATTTTTATATTATACTTCAGGCCTCAAGTCTTGGTGCTGTTGAATTTGGATTCAGAACATTTGGTAAAACATCCTCGGCTGCTTTCTTTTACCTCTCAATTGAAAGCTGGGAAAGGATTGACTATTGTGGGATCTGTACTTCCAGGAACATATCTTGATAAATATGCAGAAACTGAAAGAACTGAAGAGGTATGTATATTTGATCAGCAAGAAAACAGTAAGGATAGTAAGATTTAATATTCATATTTGCTTTCAGGTATCACAAAACTGCCAGTAGAAAGTCTTGCATTTTATGTTAATTGCCTAGCAAAAATCTTTACTGTATTCAAAGAATTAAGGCTATTTTGTAAATTGTAAAAACATTTATTTGATAACTGACATTTCTCTAGTCATTGTTACATAAAAGATTGAGAGTCAGTGCAGATTGTAAGCTCGTCCTAACTATAGGCACGGAACCCAAGAATTAGGAACGATGCAGGATTCAACAAAGTTTCAGGATTTATTATGTTGCTAAATTGAAAAGAAAGTCAGCCCTGAGAAACCTCCCATTCCAGCGTATTAAATAAGCCCCGCCACCACACCTCAATTACCAATCACCGCTCCACCCTCGCCACACCCTCATGTTTTCAGACCCAGCATCCCAGTTAACTGAAAACAGCAGATTAATTCAACTCAAGTCCCTTCAGACGCGCGTCGCAGGCAGAGCGTCATTAGCTGATCGTCGGCAGCCCATTGGAAATAACACCATCCATCTGATTCGCGGTAGCCCAAATCAGTCCCTAGACGCGCGTCGCAGGCAGGACGTCATCAGCTGAGCGTCGGTATCTCTAGCGCCGCCCATCTGACTTGCAGCGTCACCGAGGCCTCTCAGCAGCGTCGCAGCCCGCTTATTCAAGATGTTTTACGATGGGTCTGACATTCGGCCCCCCCTCACCACGGGATCCCCTGGAATAGAACGTTACAGGTTAATGCATCGTTTGGTTAACAGTATCTATATATTATTTAACCCCCCCCCTCATTCGGTTTCGGCTTATTTGGCCATATTTTATGGTATCTTCGGAGCAGCTCCGGAGCGAAAACCTTTCCACTCTGCACCCATGAAGCATCGGATAGGGGATATCCTTTCCATAATATCAGGTAGTATACTTTGCCCCCCCGCCATCGTGAGTCCATGATATCCTGTATCTCATACTGTCCCGGAGCTATAGGTCCAGGAGGATCTGTATGAGTGTTCCTTTCTATCGGCTTCAACAGACTCACGTGGAAAACCGGATGTATTCTACCAAGGAAGACCGGCAGTTGGAGTTGTACCGTAACAGGATTAATGATGCGTATTATGCGAAATGGACCCACGTATTTCGCCGCCAACTTCTTGCAGGGTACCTGTAACTTAAGATATTTGGTCGAGAGATATACCTGGTCACCTACTCGGAATTGGGTTGACATTCTACGACCTTTATCTGCCTGTTCCTTGGCTATTTGCCCCGCCTGTATCAGCGCTTTCTTTACTGTATGCCACACTTGGTTAGCACGGGACATCCAGTCCCCTGGCTTCGTGGCCAGGGACGTCAGTGGTTCACAACCCGGTAAGGGATTTAGATCGTAGCCATATACCACTTGAAAGGGGGTTAACCCGGTACTCTTATGCACTGCATTGTTGTAAGCTAGCTCGGCAAAGGGTATATAATCCATCCAATCCGTCTGTTGGTGAGAGACATAGCAACGTAGGTATCGTGACACGGCCGCATTGGCTCGTTCCGCTGCTCCGTTGGTACATGGATGGTATGCAGAGCTCAATCCTTGAGTAGTTCCAATACAGGCCAGAAATTGACGCCAGAATCAAGCTGTGAATTGAACCCCGCGGTCTGATATAATCCGTCGGGGAGCTCCATGTAGACGATAAATGTGCTGTACGCTAGTTGCGCTGCAGACGGCAGCCCTTTGCAGGGTATAAAATGAGCCTGCTTCGAAAATAAGTCTATTACCGTCCATATGACTGTGTAACCTTTTATATTTGGTAACTCCACCAGGAAGTCCATGCCAATATCTTGCCATGGCCGTATCGGATCAGACACTGACTGTAACAATCCCATTGGCTTCTTAGGTATTACCTTTGCCTGTGCACAAACCCTACATTCTTTTACGTATATCTCAATATCTTTCCTTAAGCTTGGCCACCAAAATCGCCTTCTTGCTAGGTGTAATGTTTTTACAAAACCAAAGTGACCTGCTACTTTGGAGTCATGACATTGATGGTATACCCGGCTGCGCACTTCCTGAGGTATATACAATTTATCGCCATACCAGGCCAAACCATTACGATAGGTCAATATCCCTGGATTCGCTGATAGCCAAGGATCAGTTACTAAAGCTGTTTTTATTTCTTCTTCAAAAGATGCTAGCTTTGTGCAAACTTCTGCCTTTTCGGGCTCCCCATTACACTGAGGTATGACAGCCTGGATCACCTGTTCCCGTTTGCTGTCATATTGGGGCATTCGGGAGAGTGCGTCCGCTAGAAAGTTCTTTCCACCCGGAACAACCTTTAAACAGAACTTGAAACGTTGAAAATACTGTGCCCATCGGACGTGTTTAGGCGCTAGTTTTCTTGGTGTTTGAAGCACTGTTAGATTTTGATGATCTGTCCAGACTTCGAAGGGATGTTGAGCCCCTTCCAACAGATGGCGCCAAGTGGACAATGCCCATTTCACTGCAAATGCTTCTTTTTCCCACACTGCCCAACGTCGTTCTGTTTCAGTGAATTTTTTGGACGTGTAGGCACACGGTTGTAGCATATTTTTCTCATTACGCTGCAATAGAATAGCGCCAACGGCTACATCGCTAGCGTCCGCCTGTACAATAAAGGGCTTGTCCGGGTCAGGATGTGCCAATAACGGCTCCTGTGCAAACAGGCTTTTTAATTTTTCAAAGGCCTGTTGGCATGCCATGGTCCATTCCAGCGGTTGTTTTGGCCGGGGTTTACCAGTATTGTGTTTGGTACGTAACAACTGAGTCAATGGTAGGGCCACATCAGCGAAGGACGGTATGAACTGACGATAAAAATTAGCGAACCCCAGAAACCGCTGTAATTGGCAACGAGTCCTTGGGGCTTGCCATTCTAATACACTGCGTATCTTATTGGGATCCATCTCTATTCCCTTCGCAGAAACCCGGAATCCTAAGTAATCAATACGGTCTTTGTGGAATTCGCATTTTGATATTTTACAGTATAGTTTGGAATCTAGTAATTTTCGCAACACCGTTCGAACTAATTGTATGTGGTCTTCCAGTGTACTCGAGTATATAAGTATATCATCTAAGTATACCAGTACACCCCTATAAAGATGGTCATGCAACACTTCGTTTATTAACTGCATGAAGACAGCCGGGGCTCCCTGTAGACCGAAAGGCATCACCTTGAACTGATAACTCCCTAAGGGACAGTTAAAAGTGGTCTTCCACTCATCCCCTTCCTTTATCCGTATTCTATAATATGCCTCTCGAAGATCTAATTTTGTGAAAATCTTGCCAGTGGCCAAATGGGCAAGGAGGTCTTTCATGAGAGGTAGCGGATAAATGGGTTCTACGCATACCGCGTTCAGTCCTCTGAAATCTACACATAACCGTAGTCCTCCATCCTTTTTTTCATGAAATATTACGGGTGCTGCTATTTTAGAGCGCGCCGGCTCTATAAAGCCCCTAGCCAGGTTTTTATCGATATACTCCCTCATTTCCTTTAGCTCAGCGAATGTCATGGGGTACATTCTGGGCTTAGGCAACTTTGCCCCAGGAATAAGTTCGATGGCACAATCTGTTGCCCTATGGGGTGGCAGAGTGTCGCAATCATGTTCACTAAATACTGCTGCCAGGTCGTTGTAGACTGACGGGTGTCCGGGTCCGTCCCCGTCCGGTATTGGGTCTACAGCACCCAGCCCTTTATCCCCATTATGATCAGGTGTGGGTAGTGGCTGAGGACCCACGGGCAACCGCAATCGTCGAGACCCATCCTCCCACCAGATGATCGGTGTCCATTTATCCAGCCAGGCCAATCCAAGAATGAGAGGTTCGGTCATGGAAGGGACCACGATGAATCTGATAACCTCCCAATGACCACCTACATCCATCCTGACTGGTTCGGTCACCAACGTGGTTGGAGCCCCCCCTAGCAGTGAACCATCCACCTGCTCGAATCGAATTGGAGATTTTAGTCGAGTCACCCTAATCCCCATCTGTTGTGCTACCCCCCTATTAATTAAACACCGGGTGCATCCGGTATCAAGCAATGCCTGAAAAGACCTCGCTTCCCCAGTATTTGGGCTTGTAAGAGTTACTGGAATGGTGAATGGGACGATTGGTTCACTCACCATTGAATCTTCTACAGGACCGTCCTCCTCGTATTCCTGCAACATGGGGGAATGATCACCGGAAGCTGGCTGTATCGGTGTCTGCCCCGTTTGGTGGGCTACCCGTGACTTCTCCGTTGTTTTCTGCGGTGTAGAGCCTGGTTTGCCGATCGCCGTTGGTGTCCCTAGTATTGCCGGTAGTCCGCACTCTGCTGCTCGGTGCCCTGGTCGGTTACATCGGAAACACCTAAAGGTTGTCTTTGGGCGCGTTGCTTCCGGTGTGGCCTGGACCATACGGCCTGTGGGCGGGTCCTGGCCCCGGCGGGGTGGTAGTCTGTTCTCACGCCCACTGGTATGCTCCCTCAACCCGATGTCCAGTTCCATCGCGGCTTTAAACCAATTGGACAGACGTCCCCCTATCCCTCTCACTATACATGCCCGGCGTATCTCGTTATCCAAGCCATTACGAAAGTGGTGGACCAGTAAACGATCCGGCCACGATCGCAGTCTCCCCGCTAATTTCTGGAACTCACGGATGTAATCTTTTGCCGGTCTCCCTCTTTGTCGCAGGCCCACTAGTTGGGCCTCCGCCCATTGTAAGCGTGTTGGGTCCTCGAATCTAGTTCTTAACGCATCCAGGAAGAGCCCCACATCAGCTAGCTCTCTGGCTTGGTCACTATAGAGATCAGCTGCCCATGCAGCTGCCTCTCCCTGTAGACTCGATGTGACTGCAACCACCATCGACCAATTGGATGAATACAGAGTGGAGTAGCGATCTAGATGGTTCAGTACATGACTAAGAAAGACTGCTAAGCGATCTGGGTCCCCGTCAAATGTAAGCGTTATAGGGGGAGGGTTCCACACCATATTCTGAGGCCATGGAGGTGGCACCTGTCCTCCATACCGACCAGCCTCCAGAGATGGTCTAGGACGAGTCCCTGCTCCTCCCCCCGTGGGTCCTGCGCCCATGTCATCAGGGTCTGCCGGCCTGTTCCCCAGTCCCCTCACTCCCATTCCATAACGTGTACGATCCGTCCCCACCTGCCTTGTGGTAGGTTCCCGCAACGTAAACTGGTCATCCGGGTGCAGGTTAAGCTCTGTACCGGACAACCGGAACTGGGAGGTGTAAGGTCGGCTATCCTTGCTAGGGCTATGTATAGTAGCGGGGTATATACGTTCCCCAAACTGGTCTCTGAGCACATCCAGCGTGTACTGCCCCGGGGCTGTGGAGCAGCTCCATTCCTCTTCATGGTCTCCAGTGACCCGGCGTTCCCTCCAACCGGTAAAGCTTGGCGCCAACCGTCGTCCGCGACCATCCTCAGGGAGCCCCAGCGTTGGGCTAAACCACCATTCGCCCCCCGTATCCACCGGACGTTGCTGTCAGGTTTTTGGACCCTCAACTACGGGAGCACATATTTTTTCCCTCCGTCGAACCACCGTTGGCTCCTCCCCTGTGCCGCCCGCTGCCAGGCCCTCCAGCTGTTCACCGGACTCCTCCGAGTCTTCAGCCATGACAGGGTCCTCTTCCTGCGTTCCCTCTGCCATAGCTCCTTGTTCCTAGCGAGCGCCGGGTGTTGGAACAACTAATGTGAGTGAGGGCTGACTTAATGTAAGCTCGTCCTAACTATAGGCACGGAACCCAAGAATTAGGAACGATGCAGGATTCAACAAAGTTTCAGGATTTATTATGTTGCTAAGTTGAAAAGAAAGTCAGCCCTGAGAAACCTCCCATTCCAGCGTATTAAATAAGCCCCGCCACCACACCTCAATTACCAATCACCGCTCCACCCTCGCCACACCCTCATGTTTGTCAGACCCAGCATCCCAGTTAACTGAAAACAGCAGATTAATTCAACTCAAGTCCCTTCAGACGCGCGTCGCAGGCAGAGCGTCATTAGCTGATCGTCGGCAGCCCATTGGAAATAACACCATCCATCTGATTCGTGGTAGCCCAAATCAGTCCCTAGACGCGCGTCGCAGGCAGGACGTCATCAGCTGAGCGTCGGTATCTCTAGCGCCGCCCATCTGACTTGCAGCGTCACCGAGGCCTCTCAGCAGTGTCGCAGCCCGCTTATTCAAGATGTTTTACGATGGGTCTGACACAGATAAGCTATTCATAAGGAACCATTTCTCCTTATTCTCTGAACTTTTGTAATCTTTATTTTTCTTCCTCTTCCAATGAAATTTCCCCTTTTTACAGCATTATATTTATCAAAATATGTTTATATTTATAAAATATATTTATATTAATATTATGAAATTGCTCATAATAATAGAGGTATTAATAATCCTGATTCTATAACTCAGGCATGTCAAACTGCTGGCCCGCGAGCCCGATGTGTCATACCAAAACCGCGCCCACCCCAATTGCATGATATCACATGACTTTGTGAGTTTTGAAGCTAATTAAAAGCTAATCAAGGAAGGGTTATCCTAGATCAGCTACAATATAATACTAAAACATTTGGTGCTGAAGTAAAAGGTAGAAGTTTAATTTGTTGGTTTACTTACTTAATAATTGATTTATATAGCCACCCATCTCACAATCACAACAATAACATCAATAACTAATCATAACTAATGTTATAAAAGAAAATATATGGATATCAGAGTTACAAATTGAACGATTACATTTTCTTTGGATATTTATTTTTAATGGAAAACTGAACACTAATTCTTAACAACCACATAGATAATTTTTGACAAGGTTTTCTGTATCCAACCTTGCCCTTCAGAACATCCAATATTGCACTTATCACCCTTATAATTGAGTCCATCCATTTTGCTGTTGATCAAGGAAGATAGAAGTTATAGCTAGAAATTATCAGAGCAGTCCAAGTCATTGGAATAGAGGAACATGATATGCACAAAAAAACAAAATCATGATTTATAGCAGATCTTGACCTACCTAACAAAGATAGTAGAAGATTCCTTGTGCTTTAGAGCTTATTCATTTACTGCATATATTCTGCAAAAAGAAAAATAGTCTACTAATACATTTTGTTTACATTTTTTTCAATTAAAATTTATACAGAATTCAATGCATGATATCTCATTTCTTGCACAAAATATTTTAATATATATAAGTGAGCATAAAATGTGTTCTTTTTAATATCTATATTTAGAAAGATTTTAATAGGTTTTTTTCACAATAATAGGATTTGAATCATTGTCTGCAGTACAGAATTAGAATAAACTTGAGATTATTTGAAGTAAAATGCTTAGCGAAATACTTTTATTCTTAGCTTGTATGAAGTCAGCATTGACTTAATTGTAGACTCCTCTAAATATTTAACAAGATAGTGACACTCAGAAGTCTGTTTGGAATACTTTCAGGAAAAGAGAATGGTTCAGCAGTTTGTAAATGATTGCTGCTATAAATTTTTAATCCCACTGTTTGATTATTTTAAAAGTAATATAGCAGTGCAGTGCTTTGGCCTAAAATTAGATGATATTTTGAAATTGTGCTTTGCTTTTCAAAATAAAGTTTAAAAGATTGCATAGTCAAGTGAGGAATGAATTTCACTCGAGAAAAAAATAAGCATGAGAAAGATTTCAGCAGTAATTTCTGAACCCTGGTTAAAACTAAGTAACTTAATTTCATGTAACCAATATAAGTTATTTTGCACACATAATTATGGAATGAATCAGACTTATAATCATTTTAAAACAAGGAGAAGCTATGGTCCATGCCAATTTTCCTAATATTAAAAGCTGTGTATTATATTAATTTATGTTTAGTTCTGGAAACACAAAAGGAGATTGCACAATAGAATTAATTACACCCAGTCTTCTTCCGTTTTCTTACTCATAGAAACTGCTAAATTTGCATCCTGTTTAAGAAGTAAATCCAATTTTCAGATAGCAAAGGTGATAATTGGTCCATCAGTAATTCATTTCCTAATTTTTAAATCTTTAAAGGTTTTCATTAAGCCTGTGACTTTTTTCCTTCTTATTTAGCCAGGTCATTTGTTCATTTAAAGTATCAAACTGAGTATCAAACAAAAGCTTTCTTGAGAAATTTATTAATCCATCAAATGCATTAAGATTCTTCATCATTTTTTGTTGTCTAAATACCTTTTACTCTAATTTGTATTTTTTCCCCTAAAGAATATTCGAACTTTAATGGGAACAGAAAGAACCAAAGGATTTTGCCAAATCATAGTATCCCCCAGTGTTAGAGATGGAATCTCTCATTTGATTCAATCTGCTGGTCTTGGGGGGATGAAACATAATACTGTTTTGATGGCATGGCCTCAATCCTGGAAGCAGACGAATAATACATTCTCTTGGAAAAACTTCGTTGGTATGTGTTTTTTAAAATTAATAGAGAGTAGATTGAGAATTTATATTTATTGAATTGACTGTATTATGTTGAAAGTTTCAAAGATAACTGTATCCTGCAACTGATGGCTTGCTAATAAAGTGAAGTGGATTTCACAGACAGTAATTAATGGTTGGGATATAATCCACTTGAATGTATACAAATGTATACATTTGTTCTTTACTGAGTTAAACTCCTACTTAAAGAAGCATTCAAAAATGAGATTCCTATATTTAGTCTCTGTGATTCATACACAGAGCGAAATTCTTGGTAAATCTTAGCACATACCCTTCCATACAGTTGGAACTCTGAAGCAATTATAAGATATTTTCTCTTGTTTCTTTGAGGGTTATCTGATCCATAAGAGTGACTAACAGGATCACTTCAGTGAGAGTGAATGTTAAATTCCTTTTTACACCAGTAGATGCAAACTTCACAGTTTTATAAGGACAGTTTTGCTCATCTCTGGAAGTGTTCCTTAGAAGCATGTTATCTTAGCACCATTCCATCAGGTTTTGAATCTCTCCATTTTTGGAATCTCTCCATCAACCTCCATCTTCCCACTGTATCAACAAGCTGTTAATTGATGCTTAGCTACAGGAAACCTTACTGAAGGAGGAACTTTTTCTCTGATGCAGATTGTCACTACTGACATGCTAATTTCTGAGTGGGGGGCACATCTTTAATACCTTTGCATCCAAGGATCTTGGTCTCCATTAGAGGTATATCAATATCCTGCAGGTGATTAGTTTTTTTCAGCCTTCCAGGATCTATTCAAATATTAAACAGTTCAAATTATATCAGGTGATGCCAAGAAAGTATTACTAAATCCACTCCACTTTTAGACTTCACATTTTCTATTAGACATTGATCTGTATGATTTTTTAAAAAACATATATTTTATTGATTTTAAATAGTGGATACTATTTAACTCTTTTCTAATGCATTTAAAAGAGTTTTAGGAAATATTTGATTTGTTCACCACTAGTATCCCTATCAGCTCCTGTTTGGGATCTTTCCCTGGTTCTAATGTTAAAGCCTTTAGAACAGCGGGTGACTAGTCCAAATCATCTTTTTTGAGTTGTTTTCTGTGTCATAAAGTTACATCATTACAAATGGATTGGCATTTGTTTTGAGTTTTTCAAGGTCCCTCCAAGGACTGAGTCTTTCTCCTCAAAATCTTTTCATGTAGAAAATTGCAGATATTAAACTTTGTTTTGAACTAGCTAAATGACAGTATCTTCCTCAGATCTTTGATCACTTTAAGGCCATAATTACAATATCAGAATTATTTAGGTTGTTACGAGCCCAGTATTCTACTTTTATTCTTCATTATGGACATTCATTCTTGGAGAATTGAAGACCTATGCTTTGTTCAGTCACCTTATGAGCACCAGACTCTCTGCTGGATAATAAGCTATGTACATTATCTATATGTACATAGATAATGATAAGGAACTGGTTATTCACATAACCCATTGTCTAATTCTGTTCAGCATTGAATGACTTCAGCATTCCTCTCATATTATCAGGGATTTAGTGGAAACCACACCTGGTTATGTATGTTGCACACAGATGTGGTTTCTAACAAAAAATTATAGAACATTGCAAAAAGGCTCTGGTGTATCCATCTAACCATTAGGTGTGAATTCATAAATGACTTCTTTGAGAACTACAGTTACAGCTAAGTAACCAGTTCTTTTTTTTTTTAATAATTTTTTATTTTTCCAAACTCTCCCCCATACATATACTGTAATACTTATCAGATATTAACATACATTCCCTCCACACTCACATACAGATACTTTTAACAAAATGAAATAAATACATACACATAACTTTGGTGTTGCTCGCCCATTTCCCCTTTCACCGTATCCACACTCCTTCTTCTTTACCTTCTTTCTCCCTTTCTTCTCTTCCCTACTTCCCTCTTCTTCCTCTCCTCTCCTTCACCACTCTCCTCCCCTTTCCTCTTCCTCCAACCTTCCTACTTCCTTCTCCCCTCCTTTACTCTTTTCTCTCTCCTCTCCTTTCTTCATCCCTCTTCAGATACAATTCAGGGGTAATGTCCGAGCAACTCCTCTCTCCAAATTTCCCTATCTGTATTATATACAATAAGATTAATACTTCTATTTATCTAACCTTCTCGGTATATACTTCTATAAACATTTATACAGCCTGCAGTTATTCAATACTGTGTCGCCTGAGTCTCCCTCCTTATCTGCTCCTTCTTCTTCCATCTAAATTGATGTTAACTATCTTTTAACTGTATTCTCTTTTCAGCCAATCATAAAAAGTTTCCCAAATTTCATAGTAGTCTGACTCTGTCTTATCTTTAATTGTCATTGTTAGTCTATTCATTTCTGCGCATTCCAATATTTTCCCAATCACCTCTCCCTCTGGGGGAGCTTTCAGTGCTTTCCAATTTTGTGCAAACACAATCCTGGCTGCCGTAATTACATGAATAATTAAATATGTTTTTTCTTTATTGTATTTCTCTGGTAGAATACCCAACAGGAATATTTCTGGTCTTAGTTCTATACGTTGTTGTATCATCTTTTCTATCCATGTTCTAATTATATTCCAATAAGTTTTAGCTTCTACACACGTCTACCACATATGGTAGAAGGAACCTGGTATCAGTAACCAGTTCTTATTATATGCTTTCTACTGCATATGTTGATTCTTATTAAGATCCTTAAACACTACTTACACAAGTAATTATCTAAATTTCTATTCAGAGCAATTTTGTCTGTTATTGATGTTCCTATCAAATACTTTTGACATGATATTCACTTGAACAAAAAAAAATCATTTGTTTAAGTAATTGTCAGGTGTATAAAACAGGTATATAAAACAGATCTGCTTGTTATAATTTTAAAATTTAAATTTAAAATGTTGCAAAACATCAGTGTACTATTTTCTATTTAAGTTAGGAGCTATAGTTCAGACTTCTTAGAAATGCTTCCCATGAATTAAAACTCTAAAGTACCGATTACCCTTTGTGTTTCAGACACTGTACGAGAAACAACAGCTGCACAGCAAGCTCTACTAGTTGCTAAAAATATAGACTTGTTTCCAATGAATCAGGAACGTTTTAGTGAGGGCAACATAGATATTTGGTGGATTGTTCATGACGGTGGCATGCTTATGTTGCTTCCTTTCCTCCTGAAACACCATAAGGTAGTAGCATTATTTTACTTTGGAAACTTGGCAAAGATTGAGATATATTGCTATTGATATATAAAAAGGTAATATTATTTCAGCCTCATAGTGATTTAAAAACAACAACAAAAAACAGGATGAAAGAGAGACAAGAAATCAAACTATAGGCTATACATAGTCCATAACTGAAGAGAGGAGGTCAAGAAAGGTAAATTTCAGAATGAGCTTGGTAAGTGATGGTGAGAGCAACAACAACAACAAAAATATTCTTAGGATATGTTCAAAGCAAGAAAGAGTATGTACAGCTGTTTGCTGAAGACAGCAAAATGCTAGCATATATCAGCACAGATTTATCATAAACATGTCTTGCCAGGCTAACTTTATCTCAGTTTTTGATTGGGCTAGATGCACAAGAACTAAGTAAATGTAATTGACTTGAAAATTAAAAAGTGCTTATCAGTGGTTCCTCATCCACCCGATGTTGTCCCAAAAGATGCAAGTGTGACCCCTCCATTCTTCAACATTTTAAATTAATAATTTGAATGAAGAGATGGCTTTCTTATGAGACTTACCAAGGGCTCAAAGTTTGGTGGGATAATACCCTAGATACGTGGTGGCGAACCTATGGCACGCGTGCCACTGGTGGCACCCAGAGCCCTCTCTGTGGGCACGCACGCCATCGCCCCAGTCCTATGCCTTCAGCTGAGTTTTATAAAACCATTTTGCTTTAGGCCTTCGCCGCCATGTGCAAAAAAAAAAGGTTCAGTCAATTAATCAATTTCAACTTTTTGCAGGAAAAAAGATCTCGCAAAGTTGGAATTGATTGATTGAACTTTTTAGTCCCACCCAGTCTGCCACTACCACCACAGCCATGCCCACCCAATTGGCCACACCCACTCAATGGGCCACACCCGCCTGGCACACGACAATACATAAGTGGGTTTTGGGTTGCAGTTTGGGCACTCGGTCTCTAAAAGGTTCAGCATCACTGCCCTAAATGATAAAAACTAAATGATATTTTAGACTGGATTATTTTCTGCTACCAGATAGCATCTAGTCATTGTCAAGATTTTTGAAGCTTAAATCTGGTAGTCCTAAATGTGAGATGACACATTTTGGCATTAGCACTATTAGCTTAATTCACATAATAGTTCACGTGAACATTAGGCAATATTTAGTTGTTGATGTGTCTATGCCTTCTAGCATCTCTCCCTATTAGCCATGGTAACTGGGAACCTCTTCAAAATAGGTTTCAACAACACTGGAGGTTTTACATTGTGCACTTATCCACCAACATTCTTTTTAACAATTATTTGTTGAATAAGTTATTGTGGTCTGATTTACAATATGAACTGCTAAGCCACATGAACTGGGTTCATTTAAGCTGAGGTAAAAACAAATTATATTATGCTGGCGTGTTCAAAATATTATATGTGCAGTGCTATATCTTTTCATAAATATCAGATGCTTCCAGTTAAAAACAATCTCCCAGCAACAACTGCAGTGGTCAAATTAATTGCATTTTTTAAATGCAGTGTACTTTTCTTTTTATAGGTGTGGAGAAAATGTAGAATGCGGATCTTCACTGTAGCTCAGATGGATGACAATAGTATTCAGATGAAAAGTGATCTTCAGATGTTTTTATATCATCTTCGAATTAAAGCTGAAGTGGAAGTTGTTGAAATGGTAAGGTCTAACAGTTACCAATTAATGTATTTATAAAGTGCACAATTTCGACTGAAAAAAAGTATGATTTCCCCGAATCAGTGAGAGACTTTGATCACCTTACAATAAGTCCTTCTGGAGAGAACAGGCAAGTTCAAATTTTAAGTTTTAATTGTTAAGAGGAGTCTTTTTGAATTTTAAAGTAGATCCTAAAAGAGTACTTAGGATGAATTGGAGCTAAATCTGACTGAACTTTATTTTCTAGCATTAGATTTTAGGGAAACTTTGTAAGAGACTTTGTGGTCCAAGCAAACATCTCTCATCTATTTCTATCTCCCGCCCTTTCTCCGCTTCAGCTAAAGCTCCAGTGCACTAAAACAGCTGGCACTTTGTCAATCTAGACCCACTGGAATAGAACAGTAAATCCAACCAAACAACTGTGTAACAGCAGAATATGTCACAGTATAAATAAAGAATCCCATTCAATGTAACTTTGCACCTGTCCTTTCCAACTGCCAGTGGGCTTCCCACTCCTTTTCTTTATCCACTCCACAGCTAGGAAAGGAATTCTTAATAAAGGAATCTAGGATGCTAAAAGCAGTGAGTGGGTGTGACTCACAAAATAGGGAACAACCTTGCTCCCATATCTAGATGAGTGCAATATTAAGTCAGGGTATGTGCAAAATATGCTATTTGGCTTTCCCAAAGTAAGTAGATCTAAACTTTAAGAAAAAAAACTTAAGCTGAGATAATTTGATTATCTTTTGGATTTGGATAGTTTAATCAATAATATTCTTGAAATTGGTACATTTCTAATAAAGGCTTCATTGATTATCATGATGCAATGTATTTTAGTGCCTTTGCTGATGACTTAGGCTGGTTTTATTGAAAAAAATGTTATATTAAATATAAAATAAGAGATGTTTGATTTATAATGTTTGACTTTAAAAGTTGAAAACATCTTCTTAATGGATAACTTTTGATGGCCAGGATCCACATATAGCAGTCTGTAGGTGCCTAGAAGCGGCCGCTGGTAATAAAATGATAGAGTGAGTGCAATGCTATCTTTGTTCCTGAATTATTATTAAGCATATTTCTGGGTTTATTCCTATGCATTTGTTGTCCCATAATTATAGACATCTGTGCCACTGACTTAATGCATTGGCAAGATGCTACTTTAGGTTCTTTCCTTTTCAAGGCAACTTAAACTGTTGCCCTCCAGACTTTTGTAAACTACAACTTCCAGAATCCCACAGCATTGATTGGAGGACTGCAGATGCCCCGTCGTTGTTAATGTCCACATAACCATTCTGCATCAGGCATATCTATTACAAGACAAAATTTTGTTAAAATGAAAAAATTACAACACGACACGGGCATACAAGTGATACCGCTTACATATTTGTGGTAACTTCCCAAGCACAAAACAATCAGAGTTTGCATCACAGTGCATCAAGATGCCTATGTCTGTATCGGCCTCTTATTTTACAGTATAAAAACATGCTTAAAGCAGTAATACGTGCTTTAAAATTGGCACATATAGATCTGAAGCACTTACAGGTGGTCCTTGTTTAATAACCACTCATTCTATGACTGTTCAAACTTATGGCACCATTGAATGAGTGGTAGTTACAACAGATCTTTAACATTCTGGCCGTCCCCATGGTCAGCGATCATTATTTGCTACGTTCACTCCTGTCTTCTGACAAACAAAACCAATGGAGAAGCCAATAGGAGGTCATTAATGAAAATGCTGGAACTACCACTGCTAAGTGGCATGATCTCATGACTTCATGCTTTACGGCTGTGCAAGTTTAGCGGTGGAAATTCTGGCCGCAACAGCTGTTATTGACTTAGAGCTAGCTGTACAAGTTTTTTGCCAAGGGCTACAGTATACTATAAAATCAAGAGATTATACTTGGAATTTGAATATAACTAACACTTACTTGTTTTTACAGTTTGAAAATGACATTTCTGCCTTTACGTACGAGAAGACTCTTGTGATGGAGCAGAGATCTCAGATGCTAAAACAAATGCAGCTTTCAAAGAATGAAAGGGAGAGGGAGGTAATGAATTTTCTTTAGTTTGGCAATAGCATTTTAGTTAATGAGAACATTATTTCTGGATATTCCCGCAAACCGGTAAATCTTTTATGAATCGTAAGTGCGACAAGTTCATCTCTTATTTCAGTGAAGAGGAGCAGTTATTCAACATGCAGTATGCTATGAATAGAAAAGTCTGAGCACAGTTTCTATCAAGATTTAATTTGATTTCCTTTGGAATAAGTTCATTACTTTTTTAGAAATGCTAAATTGTTAATATTTAGAATCTTAAAACCTTTCATTGGTGGTTTTAAAGATATTGAGGATATCTCAGGGTAGGACTTTATTCTTTCATATTTCTTCTTTTCAGTCTTTTAAAAGCAATTTAATGTCATTGTTTCAGATTAATATACTGATTTTCATGTTTTAAAACTGTCTATCATTTTTTTCTCTTTATTAAGACATTTTATAAATTTCAAAAACCTTTATACTTTTGGGAGGATGGGGGGAACCCACTATTTTAACCTAATTAGTTTTGCAAATTACTGAACATTTTCAGAGTATTGGACTCCAGTCTTTATATTCATGTCATGTTACTGCAGACTTTTCATTCAGCTTAGCAGCTCTGCTAACTTGTTTTTTCTCCAGCAAGACTGGGATTTTTGCATGGTATCTCATACATTCTCCATTGCAAAATTTAAGAATAAAAGGATCACGTTGACTAAGCTGGCAATGAAAAAGGAATTCTGTTTTTAATCTAAGACTGCCATTCTTTAACCTAAGTCCATGTTTAAATTTTGCTTGATTGCATTTTCACTCCTTTTTCTTTGCAGAAATATGTTTAAAAATTAAACTGTAAAATTCAGATTTTTTTTAATTATATGGAACATTACTCCTGTTGATCATATGTAATGAGTTTCCTTTCTGTGATGTTTTATAACTTAAACAGATAACATCACTAGTTTAAAATATGTTTTTGATTTTGGCCTTCCCTTTATGATATCACATTAATCTAACTAATAAACTGGGCCCTAAGATGAAAATAAAATACAAAAGAGTTTTGAAACCATACCATATCACTCTTGGTAAAACTCTAGTATATGATTACTAATTTTCTTACACTAAACCTTAATTTAAAAGGTTTTTTTTTTCTTCTTTTTTGGGAAACCATTCAGTGTTTGGCCTTTACACTGACTGCCTATAGAAATAGTTGGATTGGATTTTATTCCTTTTTGAGAAATTGGGTAAATAAATGTGACTGTGAGTGAATGTGCTAAAGATGATGTTGCTGAGTTGAAGGGTATCTGATGTTTAAATGTGCCTGTGGTTTATTTATTTATTTTTAATTAAACGTTGTATTTTATTGTCTAATGTAATATCCTTTTTCTGTATGCTGGTTGTGCCTGGTGGCCTTCCTGTCTCAGATTCAGAGCATCACTGACGAATCTCGTAGCTCAATCAGAAGAAAGAGCCGCTCTAGCCCACAGGGTATTGGCCAAGCGGTAGACAGTCTGCTACCTAACGATATTCAGGAAGAAGAGGTAGAAGATACCAACCTAGTTGTTCCCTTCCCATCACAACACTTCTAGTGCCTCTCTAAACCATAACTGTACTAATTATTGCCACTGCCTGTTTTTCTAATTCTTACTAAGTGATTTTAACGTTATGTGTAGAGAGTGCCCCTTCCACAAAGAAAAGTACATTTTTGTGAAAAATGCATACCATTCAATAGTGCTTTTCCATAGTTAACTCTTGAATTAATGCCATGACAATCTTAATTATATTGAAGAACTAAGCAAAGTAGTTTGTTCTGAATAACTACATTTATTTGGATTTGTTCTGGTAAGTGTTCATTGACTGGTTTGTGATGATATAAATGGGGAAATAACTATTTAATGAATCCATTAGCTATTCATCTTTACAACATGAAGTATGCTTGTTAATGAAGATCTTTTAGAAAGAAATGTTGCACGTAAATTGTACGGTACTGCATATAACCTTTTGGAATATATCCCGTATTGCCTTACCTAGATATAATATCATTCTAGAACAGATCAATTAAAAGGAATGCTAAATAAGATGAAGTACCCTATCAGTAGGATATTGTTCAATACATTTGCTTTAAAATGTTAACTATTGATATTAATGCACACTAGAAATTACTTCAGATTACTCCATTTTTATTTCAGTTTCATCTTGATGTAGAATTTTACCCACCGTAAATAGATATACACAAAAGGTCACAAACAGGCAATCTCTTTTAGTTGCCAGTGTAATACTGAGTCCTGTTTAAAGAGCCGGATTGAACATTTAAAACCCAGAAGACAGGAGGAAAAGCAGGAATTTGCATAGATATTTTCTATATTTGCCATTAGAATTCACAAAATCATCTCCTCTTTACTTTTTAAAATTACAAATTTTGAAATTAGAAACCTGTCCATTGATCACTTGATTAGTCTCATCTGAAATCAAATGAATTTAAACATACTTTATTGCCTACAAACTTACACTTCTCATTTCATCTTTTCTTAATTTAATAATAGGCATTGGCTATATTTTTATTTTTGAATTTTAAATTTCTTATTCAGAAGAAATTTGCTATAATACAGTACATGAAAAAGTGGCACTTCAAGTGTGGGCAAATCCTAAGATCATAGCAAAATGGAATATTGTTTCTGTAGTTAACCTTTAGTACGTTCTGTGTCAATGTTTGTTTAAAAGAGTAACAAAAAATATCTCCAAAGTAGAATTTAGTAGATATTATCTCCTTTCCATGTGTAATGTATTGTGCTTTAAGGCCATTGGTTCATGTGAAATATTTTCAGATCATGACAAGTAAAAGTCCTCTTGCATCTGAGATAATTTACAATTCTTTTTTTACCAAAATTTTAAATAATATGATATCATTGAATGTAATGACAATGAAATGACTCCTTACTGCACTTCTCAAGATAACTACAAAGCACTTGATTAAAGAGGGCTTCCTTGCTATTTTTTTAAAGAACCACATTGATATGCTGTATTGATTTATATACCTGTTTTTATTCTTTTATTAATTCATACTCTTGCCTGCTAACTTAACTTATAGTCCAAGTTGCAGGCTTTCATAGTATATGCTGCAGGACATTCTTGGTGATATTTTGAATAGTGCCTTAGGGGGTAATCTGTTCAAGTTGGTGTGGCAGAGAAAAGAAATAATGCTATCACCTTCCTTCCTTCCTTCCTTCCTTCCTTCCTTCCTTCCTTATGACCAACCTCTGTACCTCTGTCTGCTACTGTTTGTCTCTTTCTCTCTTTCCCACATACTCTTGCTTGTTTGGGATGATCAAAAAGCTTTTTAAAGATATTCAAAAAGTTTTTATCCTTTGAAATCTGGCATATATTTAACACCTAAATTGTACTAAGAAAAGTCCACTTTAATAGAATACAGCCAGATTTTAAAATATGCATGTTATGAAGCAAAGTAGTGCCATCTAGAGGAAACGCCGGTGATAAAGAAGGATTGATTGCACTCCTTTGCTCACTTAAAAGAGAGAATTACAGAAACGTATAATAAAAAGTTTAGAGTTATTTGTGATCCTAGTTTCTGTGGCTGTGGAAAATAATTATTAGCTACCTTTCTCTACCTTCCCTTTATCTTCCTGAACCTAAGTCATCTTTTCTCCAGACTGAAAATCCCAAATTTCTTTGGCCTATAATTAATTTGGCTGGAAGGCCAAACTTTTTAGTAGGATAACGAAGAAAAATAATAATTCTGTTTTTAAAGTCCATTTTTAAATCCATTATTTTCTCAATAATACTGTGTAGAATTTAAATATGAAAGTAACTTTTATGAGGAAATGCCCTTGAAATAGATTATAATCTAATAATTCAACAATTTGTTCTAATGAAAGAAATAAAAAATATAGTGATGAAAAAGAAAAGGAGAAAAATAAGGGAATTCTTTCTGTGCACAGGAAAGACTTATCCTGGATTTTAAATGCATTAGAAAACAAAAGAGCAAACTTTCAGAAGAAAAGAATTGCTAATAATAAAAACACGTGAGATCATGGATATGTATGTATGTGTGTATATAGATAGATAGATGTAGATATAAATAATTAAAAATATAATTTAAAGATAAGTATTGATTTATAAGTTTTTTAATAGAATGCAAAAAAACAAATAGTTATAAAAAAGCATAAAATATACGCATATAAAATGTATATTTATAGAGATACATTATATGAAATAAATTGATTTATTGCAATCATCCTTGGTTAATTTATATTAATCAGTTCTGCAAACTGCTGAATAGGTAAAGCATGTTTGTGTTTCCAATGCTGAACAGTAAATCGTTTGATTGTAAGTCCATTTTTTTTTTATTTAGAGGTCAATTCCCATGTGATTGAAATAGAATACAATTGGTTATTATTGATATCGATATCATTATAGTTGTATCAGTAGAGATACAGCAGTAGTGATAAAAATCAGTAAGAAATTACTGATTTTTAGATAGTCATGTCATTTTGAGTTTTGTGAAACAGGCTATATACTATTGATACTATAATATTGATTGTGTTCATATCATGTGACTATGATAATGATAGCAGCTATCCCAATTATTTATATGGTCGATGGGAATAGATATTATCATTTTTGCAAGACAAACCTACAGTATAAACTCTTTGGAAAGCATGTATGTATGTAAGTGCAAATTATTATTTTGTCTTCCCAAAGCTATTTTGCATAGACTTTTCACCTACTGTATATTGAAATTCATTATATAGCATATATTTTGTCAAGCCACAATATTATTGGTTCTCTGCAACAAAATGGAAGAATGAATTCCACGCTACTTTTAGAAAAACCCAGGTTTAGCATTTTAATTATACACTATTACATATATAATTAGCTTTCAGTTGGGAAGTCAAGATATTGAATTGCCTTATTGCAAGTTAAAAATCCAGTCTTAATTCCCAAGTAGTACATGTTATAAGAACAGGCCTCTGCCTGTTTTGAATTAGCTGACGCGCCAAAAATGCTGATCTTTACTTGGTTTGCTTATGTTTGGCCAGGCTCAGTTAATCCATGACAGAAACACTGCATCCCATGGAACAGGAATGGTTAAATTACAGACAGCTATTGCTGCCCCAGAAAAAATACAGATGACCTGGACAAAAGAGAAACTTGTATCTGAAAAGCATAAAAATAAAGAAGCATGTGCGCCAGGCTACAAAGATATCTTCAGTATGAAACCGTAAGTAGTTACTTAAGGAATAGAAGAAGTTATTAAGAACAGATGAGTTCCAGGCTTGTTGTGAATGTGCTTAATCATATATTTCAATGCTGAAAGTGTAAATTATTCTATTTTTCTTTTTTCTTATACATCCTTCTCTGTATCCCAACATTCTTTACGATAACTCTTAATTCGCAGACATGGATTATACACTTGCAGAGAGCCTCATATGGAATTTTCTAGAACCTACTAAACGGTGTGATTGAACACTTGCCTTTCACATGTTTTGTGCAACTGACTAATTTCATTTTAAGAATCAGAACATTAGCAGTTTGTCCGTATACTTCAGGCATTTGAACACAAGATTGCTTCCCTAATAAGAGTCACATCCCTCATTACTCTCCAACTATTGCATCACATAATGGATGTGACCTGAAGTGTCTATTTTCATCCTCTTAAGATGTCTTCCCTATTGAAGTACCTTTGTTGCTGTTTTTTGAACATTCAGTAGATTAGGACAGTTTTTCTCCTATGTTAAGAAGTCCTTCCATAGGTGGTTAATTGCAGACAAATTCATCCTATGTCCTACCTCTTTGGATGGGTTGCACACCTCTGAGCTCTCTGTAAGGAATTTAGTCCGGCTATGAAACATCCCAAGCATCAACCAATTTGATACTCTGAGGCCTCCAAAGCCTTCTCTGTAACCAATTCTCCAGATTATATTGGAGATTTAAGAAATAGGATGGTACCTGTGCTTCAAATTTTATATTCCAGGCATGACATTAGTGTGTCCGTTATTCCATCTTTGTTCTGGCAATCCATAGGACAGAAGGTAACAATATTCTCGCCATTTAGCTTGGCCCTATCAGAATGACCCAAATGGAAATTGCCTCCCTCAGCAATTCTCCATGTGAAATTTCACTGGGGCAATCCTAAGATGAATCTCTGCTTCATGAGACACAGCAAATATTTGCCCAGAAACACTGGGCAAAAACTGTCCTTTGAAATACTGACTCTTGCACTTCAAACAGTAGAGATTGGCTCTCTCTTTAGAGTAGGATAGAACAGAACAGAACAGAACAGAACAGAATAGAATAGAATAGAATAGAATAGAATAGAGCTGGAAGGGACTTTGGAGGTCTTCTAGTCCAGCCTCCTGCTCAAGCAGGAAGACCTGTCCTATACCATCTCAAACAGGTGATTGTCCAGTTTCTTTTTAAAAAACTTTGAGCGATGGAGCGCCCACGATTTCTGGGGGTAAGCTTTTCCACTGGTGGATTGTCTTCACTGTCAGGAAGTTTCTCCTTAATTCCAGGTTGCTTCTCTCTTTTTCATCCCTTTTCTTTTTCTTTCAACAAGATGTTCTTTTCTTTTTTAACCCCTTATCAAAGTGTTTCACGAAAGGCCTAGTTAGTACATCTCTCTCCTCTGCTTCTGTCTAACCTGAAGTCTGTCTCTCTGTATGCCTTTGATCCTAAACTTTCCCCCATCCACCCAAATTTACCTTCATTCATAGAAAGTAGCTTTTTTGGTAGCCTTAATATCATCCTATGGATCTAGTGATCTGTGGGCCTTAAGAAGAGGTTCTCCCTTTTGAAGAAGAAAAAGGAAAGTGGTTTTCACCTATATATTTATTTATTTCTAAAAGCAATGATTTTTCACTAAAAACAGAATATGTTTCTGGTCTCTCAAACCACTGGAAAATTTGTGTCATTCTCTTGAATGTCTTTCCTGCTCTAACCCTTTGCCTGGATTGTATAGCACCATTTTAGTAAGACCAGTATTTATTCTTGGCCATTCAAGTCCTATCTAAAGGGCATAATCTGTCTATGTAGGATTTCTCCACGTGCATAATAGCATCCATCAGGCTTTACTAAGAACTGGCCAAACTTGATCTACACTTAAACAATAAACTTCTTTCAGGTTATTCCTTGACCAAATTGTGCTGGCTAGCCATGTGAACCTAGCCCATCATCTTAATACAGCGCTATAAACTGGATCTATTCTCCATAGAAACGCAACTTTTGGAACTCTCTTCATTACTTTGTCATGACTAGTTCTAGAAACTTCTGGACATAGCTCTGTGCGGGCTCATAACTCATATTGAAGAACTGCAGCTCTAGATGAACATCCTGTTCTTCTAAGACCATTAGTAATTTTTTTCAATTCCTGAATTTCACATTCTTAGTATATGAAGTTATGGACACTCATATACTTTCAGATATGTTTGATATAATGCCTGTATTTACACAATTTTGTATGCTTTTCATGTCTTTGCTTCCTTTTCAAAACATATTGTGTGCACAGTATTTAAAATAAAGAAACAATGGTTTGGTGTAATAGTTAAGGTAACGGCTGAGAAAGCAGGAGAGTGCGAGTTCTAGGCTGCCCTTATGCATGAAAGCCAGGTGGGTGAGTTTGGCGTAGCCCAGGGTAGGCAACCTTGGCTCTTTTATGACTCGTGGACTTCAACTCCCAGAATTCCTGAGCCAGCTCAGGAATTTTGGGAGTTGAAGTCCACGAATCATAAAAGTGCCAAGGTTGCCTACCCCTGGCCTAGCCCCTCTCAGCTCATCCTACCTAATTCTGTTGATGTGAGGCAAATAGGAGGTAGGAGTATTATGCATGTGAAAAAAGGCAGCATAAAAATATAATAATAATATAAACAAAATAATTACAATTAATAATTGATATTCAATATACCTCTCTTTCAGAACATTTGTTGTTTCAACTTTTTAAGATGGAACAACAAAATGTTTTAAACACTTTTAACAAAAATACACCCAAACTCTGAAAATAATATTATATTAGCCATTGTGTTTTTACTGTGTCTCATGCCACATTAAAAGTCCATGTGTCCCCATCCCTACTTCAAAAAAGATCAGTGAAATGGAAAAATAAGATTTTTCTCTGAATAAAAATCTGCCTCATTCTAAACACATCTTTATGCGCCTGACATTCCTCATATCTTTTTCTATTTTCATCCTGTTAATGTTTTAAAAGTTTTCCAGTATTTTGTGCATTAATTTTAACTGTAATCTCCATAGCCATTGTTTTGCAAAGACAGAATGTAGCCAGCCTTTCTCTTCCAAAAAGGAATAAATCCTATTTTCTACCTGTTCTATTCCCTTAGTAATCCTAAAAACATTTCACAGTAAATTCTGAGCAGAGAGTGCTTTTAAGCTGCACTGTTCATTAGAAAAGTCATTTGTCCACTGTGAAAGCAAACTCCTTACATTCTTGAATTCGTAAATTAAGTACATTCAAGGACTACTGAGAGCAGTTTTTCCCTTTGTTATTTGTGAAGTATTTCAGAGGGGTTTTTTTCCCCTTTGAATAATAGGCCCTTGAAAATTTTTTACAAAAGAGAGAAACAAATACGGGCATAGAAGAACAGACTAAGGTACAATAAAGATTGCAAATGGATAGAGTTACCAAAATATATTGAGAAAATTCTTTATCAAGGGAAAAACTTTGTTTGATCAATATACAAGTAATCCTCGGTTAATGATTGTCTTGTTTACCAACCATTCGATGTTACCATGGCACTGAAAAAGTAGCTTTATGACCGGTCTTTAAACTTACGACCACAGCACCCTTGTAGTCATATGATTGCCATTTGGACATTCACAACCAGCACACTTTTAAGACAGTTGCAGTACTCCATTTGCAAGCTTCAGAACTGACTTCTAACAAATTAAGTAAATGAGAAGCTGGCAGTAAAATTGCAGGTCATGGTCACGTGATGTCTCAGTTTATGACTGCAGCAGAACCGATGTAAGACTGGCATAGTCCCATGATGTTTCATTTAAAGGCTGTGTCAATTAGCCACAGATTTGCCAGTGTCAATTGTGGTCATTAAGTGAAGACTCCCTGTATACACATTTCAAAAATACAACTATAAAATGCTGCTGTTTTCCTTATCTTGAGTAACACATTATGATAGCTCTTGGGAGTAACATAACCTTTTGAGATTTTAGCATAACCTAAGAAAGTTTTTGTTAGTAAAGACAGGGGTCCATATAATAGCTATATTACTATTTGCATAATAGTACAAGGAACAAATATCTCTATAACCACCAGATGGTGATGTAAACTAAATAACTGCACAGAAAGGCAGCACCAACCAAGTGAAACTGCCTGCCTAAATAAGTAGAAAAAAGTATACTGAAGGACAGAGTCCATGCTAACATAAAATAACATTATAAGTTAACTGTTTATAATACTTTTTCATAAGCATGGATTGCTTATTCTGTTTATGAATAATAAAAGAGGGATGGAAATCGACTTTCTTGAAGGCGTAGAAGCTCTCATGTCCACTGCAACTTACAGCATTGCAACCACTGTTTACATATATTTGCATCTGCATATATAAGTATATTGATCTAGTGAAATAATTGTGTATGCCTTTGGAAAAAGAATGTTGCCTTTTCATTTGTGTACTTGAAAATGCACAAATATCAGGTTAGCAATTTAATTTTAAAAATGAGTATATACCCAAATACTTCCAAAATAATTTGGTCAGGTAATACGGGGATGAGGAGGAGGAGGAGGTTCGTGCTGTCTTGCCCCTACATCCTTTCTTTCTCACCGACTAATGCATAGTAACTTCTCCTTTTTGAACACAATATTTATGTTTTCTCAGACATCTGGGAGATAGTGTGGTACCATTTCAGTTTTCAAGGGAAAAAAATCTCATTATGGAAGGAATATGACCCAGTTTAGGACAGACAGAAAGCAAGTTCTCAGCACGTTCAAAGAACCGTTCTTGAATATACAAAATTGGATCCAGATTTACTTATACTAGATTTAATCTTGAGGAAATGCCATTGCTTTCAAAGTGTTTGCTTTAAGTGATACTGAGATAATGCATAGTCAAACTTGTATGGGATTTTAAGAGTGTTTATGGTAATTTTCAATACCTAAAAGTCCAGTAAAAATATAGGTTCTCACTAGAAGCTTTCATGTAGCCTGAAATTTAGGAACTTCTCTCTAGAAACAAAAACTGTTTTGCTGGATCAGTCATGAATGGCTTTCAGAAGTAAAAAGTGTATGAATGTGCTAGTCATATCTGAGTGTCAAAGTTGGAGTTACTATGATATTTTGGTTTTTAAAATATAGAAAGCATATTATTTACAGATAGATTGAAGTCTATTTAATTTGCTATATATATTGAAAATATATGCCCCCTGAGTGTCAAGTAATACATTACGTATTTGTTTCTTTTCCATGTAGAGAATGGGAAAATCTGTAAGTCAAATTTGCTGCAATTTAGGTTGTTTTTCTGTTTGTCTGTGCTTTCTTGTTGAATTGTTAGTGCATGTATTAGCTTTGTATTACATGCTTATTGTGTCCATATATTATGCTTTAGCATGCAAGTGAAATGGCATAGCATTCTTCTCCTGGTTTTTATGTTTTTATTTATTTTTTTAAAAAAAGTCACATCTCTGTTTTTCTTTTCGACTTTCAATGCAAATAATATTCTAGAGCTCAGCTCATGAAATTTTTGCTTGCATACATCATTTGACATTTTCTTCATCAAAATCCCAGGATGCAAAGTTTTTTTATTAACTCATTAACCAGAGATGTACAATAGTGTTGTAAATAAAAATAACATATTCATTCATAAACACATAACATTATTTGCAGATATTTTGCTAACAACACTGAAAGTATTTTTTTAAAATGTATTTTTGTTGCTGCTGAGTGGTTTGCTAAGCCATATCATTGTTCATTTTATGGTCACTTAAATTGTAAGAATATACTGCTGTGTTGCATATCTCCAGATTCCCTCCTGTGTTTTAAAAAAAACTCAGGAACCATAGTAGATCATCTTATCAAAATAAGATATGTCATGTATCCAGGTATAATTACAGCGAGTGGCACAGAATTGTCTTCTTACTCTCTCCATTTTTCTTTTAAAATGCACTAAAGACACTCTACTACTTTTTCCATTTTTTTTAATGAATTGTCTCCTGCATTTTCCCTGAGTGAGTCATCTTCTATTTCAAAAATCTTTCCACAGAGCACTAAAGTTTTGTCATGTATATTAAAAAGCAATTAATCCTTTATCCACACCATCATTACTGTACGGTACATGACTGCTGTAATACAACAAAGATGTTTCGTGAGCAAGTTTTGCATCCATGGATCTGGTTGACTTACAGCATAATATCCAGTTAATGTGTGTGGGAGGAGGGCTCACTTGTGTGTGTGTGTATATTCAGCCAAATATATGGAAACCCATGATTGTTCCATATAGCCTTTTTGGTGAACTCATGCAAACGTTGCTTTGCATCTGTTGCTATAAAAAGGTTTATTATTTGCTCCTACAGTTTTGGCCCCTAATTCTTTAAAAGAGAGGAAGGATTGCATTTGAAGTGCAAGCTGTTACACAACTGGAAGTTCTAGCAGATGTAACCAAAATCTCTCTAAATGACTAGAGCAAGATTTTGAATGAAAATAATATATATACATACATACATACATACATACATACATACATATAAAAATTTTAAATTTCTCTATCTTAATTCCAATTAATTCCAAAAGGAAAAGCTCCCTTTGAAATTGTTTATTGTTTGCTAGTTAGATTTATCTTGACTTCATAAAAAACACTCTCAGTCCATTTCATGTTTCTCACTCAGTTGGGGTACTCAAATTCAGTGATTTCCCCAAAAGGCCACCATTTAACTGGTGCAGATATTTTAATTGGAACTAAAACTGAAAATGTTAACCAAGCCAAAAAAATTGAGAAATATAAGTGAATTGATTTTATTTATGTATGTATAAAGACTTATAAGGCTGCCCACTCACAATTTCTGACTCTCAGTGGAGTACATTAAAAACAGTGTAAAAAATGGATACACCAGTAATAAAACACAATAATTGTATGCCTATCCTGAGCAATTCCATGGCATAGGCAGAAGAAACAGGACTCAGGGGTCTTGCAAATAACCTGACCGTGTGCCATGTAGCACTCTATAAGTGATATAGCCAGCACCTTGCATTACATGGGATGCTTACTGGAAGCCAGTGCAGGTGTGTGATGGGCATATAGAAATACATATGTCACTGGCGAGTTGCAGCTCCCATATTATCATCAGGGGCAGCCCAAGGTAAGGCACAATGCAGGAAATCAGTCTGGAGGTGACTAAGCCATGAATGAACATGGGCTTCCCAGTTTTGAAGCAAGTGCTATTGGAGTTGTGTGAAAGCCTTCCTGGTTATGGCTACCAGTTGCTCCTTATATAGGAACTGAAGGAAGATCTCCAAATCACAACTGAGGTAAGGCAATTCAACCCAGAACCAAAAGTAGAAAATGCCTAAATCCTGGCAGACTCCAAACGCACAAGCACTTGGTTTTACTGTGGTTAAGTCAGAGCCTATTCTTCTCCACCCAGAGCATCATGTACTTGGAGCATCATGTACTTGAGGTTTTCCAAGTTTGTCCCACTGGAATGCAGCCAAGTTAAAACATTCTGACAGAATGTCATGAATAGAGCTGTTTTGAACTGGGCTCAAAACAGTCTCCCTCCTTTGTTGGGTACATCCATAAGGCAAAAACAGCACAAACTGTTCTATTGTTTTATTCTCAGCACAATTCACCTTCCTTGGGTACACTAGTAGAGAAAAACTGGACAACTTCATAAATATGGTGACAAGTCTGCTTTTGTAAAAGAATTTTGGAATTCATTCCCAACCATCCCCCCAGTTCATCCCAGTTTCATTTCTGTATCAGTCTAGCCACTCTGTGCATCTGGTGAATTGAGCTGCACCTCACAAAAGCTTTTGCCTTGTAATCACATTAGCTAGGCAGAAAAAAGTGTACCAGACTCTTTCTGATTCTCTGCTAGGCGAGTTAGATTGGAGTTTGAGGTGGCCCTTTAAGTGTAAAGGAGACTATGAGCATTGTGCAATGTAAAAATGCATATAGATTTGCCTTTTCTTCTGCAATGTTTTTATTTGGAGCAGTTTAGCAAGCAGGAACAGTCTTCTAACTTCCAGGCTTTACGTCCACTTTGATTGATGTATCCTGTATGTAAGAACTCTAAAGAGTGATTGTGTGTAGCTTTTTAAAAGCATGAAATGGCTACCATGCCAGGGTTCAGTTATAATGAATTCCAGCTGCTTTCAGCAGAGGTTGTTGCCTTGAAAGTATCCATAGCTGATTGCTGCTCTGATTTACTCCATCTGGCAGGGCCAAACACTTTGGCAGCCACTAGTCAGTTTCTCAGTTCTACCCACTCTAATAAACAAGGAATTGGTGGGGGGAGTATATTTCCTTTTTCTCTCCTTTCTTTGAATGTTTTCAAATAGTTGAAGCTGCCATTCTCAGGCTTTGGAGGAACACCTTCCGTAGCCTTAAAAATGCCTGCCCTCCAAGACTTTTGGAGCAGCAGAGGTTTCTTTAATTTCCCCGGGATGTTTGGGTTGTCTGAATCCTGTTGGGGAACCAAGGACAGGTGGATCAGAGAAAGTGAAATAGCACTGCAATGGATAGCAGAATTCCTTTTACCATGGATAGAGTTGCTGTCCATCAGAACATTTACTTTATCTGATTCTTGAGGAGCTCTTTCCTTCTGATTCTAGTGCTTTTTTATCTCATTAGGTATGTGAGAGTCACCATTTTGGGGAGACAGTTCAGAGAAGTGCTGTCTTAATTTGTCCCCAGAAGGCTTTCCATCGGCATTGTCTTCAAAAGTGCCTAAGATGGAAATCGTGGCATTCCTAAGCTGAATTGTTTTCTTCAAAGCAGGAAATTATCTCTAAGAAAAGCAAGCATTGACATTCACAAATTAGGGCTGGGTGGAGGTGTCTTCTCAAGATCTAAGTATGTGCCCCAGGCACTGATCTTTTGATTCTTCTGTCACCAGTATCAAAGAAGGAAGATGTTTGTGAATTGGACCCAGTGGGTTCCCTGAAGCAGTACACGTAGGACATCTTGCACCGAGCAGATGGTGGAACCCTTTTAGCTCTATAATTTTAATTGTGTTTATTTCTGCAATCTACGTGCCACTCATTTTTAGCACCTTTGATTATGTGCAAACAAGTCATTTTCAACTTTTAACAGCCATGTAGATTTTCTCCACAAGGATTTGTGCTTAACCTTCTAATGAGAGTCCCATCTTCACTGTAACTGTCCACTCACCTTGCTGCTAATCATCCTCTTCCCACTTTTCCCAACATTAGAGCCTTTTCTAGAGATTGAGCAGCTTGCAATAATACAAAATAAAATTGAAAGTAAATAATAACGCACCCTAAAACCAACAAAGGTTTTTGAGAACAGCCACTGCTGCAGATTTTCTGAATACCAACAGGGTAGGTGCTGACCCAGGGGTGTCAAACTGCCGGCCCATGGAGTGGACGCATCACGACGAAACTGCGCCCACCCCATTGCCGGCAATGGGGGGAAAGTTCCGATACATGGTGCGATGTCATGTGATATCACGAGTTTGACGTGTCTGTGCTGACCTGAATTAAGTGGAGCACTATTCAAAGAGCGGGGCAGTCTAGAAAGCCATCCCCAACTGGTCTTTAGTGTTGGCAGTCAGTTAAGGATGACTCTAAAGATAACTTCTCTGCTAGAGTTTACTGGATGGGCAGAAACCAATGCAAGAAACAGTCCTGCAGATTACCCAGTCATGAGTTTTATATATATTGTAAAGGTAACAATTAGCAGGTTGAATTGAAGCCACCTGGCAAGTGTTGCATCTCTCACATTAGCAGTGTTACTCTGTGAGTACTGCTTCAGGAAACCCATTGGGTCCAGTTACTCAAGCTGTTGCATTCTGGATCCATTGTAGTTGCCAAGTAATGTTCAAGGACAGCCCCATGTAGAATAGTCCAGTCAAGAGGTGAATATTTCCTGATCCAGAAATGGCCATAATTAGTGCATGAGATGGAGTTGTGCTAAGGCCTAGCCAAAGCTGCCATATGTTCCTCAATCAGGAGTTGTGAGCTAGGGAGGACCATTAAGTTACAAATAGTTTAGTCCAGGAGAAAGTAACCCCATCCAGAAATAAAGGTGCAATATCACCAGTCTTGGTTGGCTTCCAAGCCTGCATCCACTCCATCTAAGGATTGAGCTTCAGACTGGTGTTTGCCATTCAGATCCTCACAGCCTCCAGATCTTTTCTGCCTCTTATACTGCATAAGTCGGGGGTCTTCAAACTTGCCCCTTTTATGACTTGTGGACTTCAACTCCCAGAATTCTGGGAGTTGAAGTCCACAAGTCATAAAAGGGGCAAGTTTGAAGACCCCCTAGCATAAGTAATCATGATGTGTTAAATTGCTTAGCATGTCTTCTACCATTGGTAGGACACGTATTCAGCAATTTAATACTTCAATATTACTTACGCAGTATAAGAGGAAGAGATAGTCGTGATGGCTTTCATTCCTCTGGCACTGGCTTTTTTGCAAGCAGCATTCAACAAGATCCTGCAGTCTAATCCATATGCAAGCTAGGTCTCAATCAACTCACTTCCCGAGGGCACCCATCTGTGCACACTCGCACATCAAGAAATTTCAGCGCAGAACTGCCCACCTCAAGGATAATGCTCAACAACACCCAATGCAGTACCTAAAAACTTTGTTCAATGAATACAGAGTTTTTTATTTGGAAAGTGTTCTCCCTGGTAGTGAGCCAGATTGCAGAGCTGGTAGCCTTATCAGCTAAGGAGGATCTCTGCATGTTGTTTCCAGCCTCATTTCTGACCATGCTCATGCCCAAGGCAATTCTGTTTCTCATAAGATTCAAGATGTATGCTGACTGTCATTCTGCCCACCCCTGGTGTGCTTGCTTCCCCTCACAAGTATTGATACGCTGGATATACTAACCAAAACTTGGCACAGGTCAAGTTCCCTCTTTCTGTTGCAGTATGCTTCTGTTGGCTTTATTGTAGTTGTGACTCTGCATCATTCCCAGCTTCGAGGTCCAGTCTTTTGTCATCCTCTCATGACCCACTACACAAGCAGTATGGCCATCTTGAAAGCCTTTTTCACCAGTATGTTCAAAGCAGTAACACAGTCCTTTTCAAGACACTACAAACTTAATTTGCAAGCTTCAGTTGATGCAGTCTTAAGCCAAAAAGATTTGCAACAACTAGTACTTTTTCAGTAGCACTTCAGTAAAAAGATTTTACTTGGCTGATACTGCTGTGGCGTCTTGGCTAAGAATACCTGCAGCTACAAAGGGAAATTGTTTATTGGATTAACCTTATATTACTTTAAAAAAAATACTGAATGGATGTTACTCTAGGATTCCTCTAAATCAGGGGTCCTCAAACTTGGCCAAACTCCCAGAAGCTGGGGAATTTTGGGAGTTGAAAGTCCACAAGTCTTAAAGTGGCCAAGTTTGAGGATTCCTGCTCTAAATCAAAGAACTGTAGGTTCAAATTCAAAAACAGTTTGACCTGAACCTGATTGAGTTTGAAATGTCTTGTTTGAACTGTGGTGAAAGTGTTTCAAGCTCTGGTAATCTGCTAATCAAAGTTAATGGGATCCTTAGCACAGCTACATTATTTCAGTCAACAGCCAAAACATGTACTTGAATGGCATTCAAAGCATTTCTTCCAAATTATTTTTGAATTGTGCATGGTCCTAATTGGTTGTGGTGCTTTGCTTTCTCAGAAAGCCGCATAATATGAACTAGCTGGAAACGTCTTTTGTGGACAAATGAAGCTAAACCCAGAGTTTTATCATTCCCTGATAAAATTTCAGACACTGTAGAAAACCAAATTAATTTGTTTCGAGGAATTTGTCTAAATCCACCTACCTGTTCTTGCTCTATGTCAAATATCGGTTTTCACTTTGTGAGATGTACCACTGATTAGCAAATGTTTAGCAAAAGTTTTTAAGAAGAGATTGGACAACCATTTGTCTGAAATGGTATAGGGCAGTGGTGCCGAATCTATGGCATGCGTGCCAGAGGCTGTGGGCACGCATGCCATTGCCCCAGCCCCACCTCCCCCATGGTCCTCTCCTCACCAGCAGCTCCCCGGAGGAGTCGCCCCTGAGCAGCGCAGCCAAGGACATGGCAGCTGGGCAGTGGGGACAAGACTGCCCTTGCACCCCGTCGCACAGTTGATGCTGCGGGACGCGGGAGGAGGCCGTAGCCGCCATGATGCTGCTGGGCTGCCTGGGTGATCAGCGGCGGGCCGTGGAGGCAGTGAGTGGCCCTACAGGTGGGTGGAGTTGGGGTGAGGCGGTTGGGGCAGGTGTGGGGCCAGTTTGGGGGCACTCGGTCTCTAAAAGGTTCACCATCACTGGTATAGGTCCCTTCCAACTCTGTTGTTCTGTTACATCATTGGCTGCCATAATGACTTTTTCTTTCATTATCAATGAAATGGTATTTCTAATTGTTGTTATATCATAGGAATGAGTCAAATGTGCGAAGGATGCATACTGCTGTCAAGCTCAATGGAGTTGTGCTAAACAAGTCACAAAATGCCCAGCTGGTATTACTGAACATGCCTGGACCTCCCAAGAACAGACATGGAGATGAAAACTGTATCCTTTAAAAAAAAAAAAAAAACTTGAGGCAAAGTCTAAAATTTTGGGCTTCATCAATTTACAAAACAAAAATGAAAAGTCTTCACTATAACAGATTAATATAACACTTCTTCTGAAAACTTATTGTGATACTATATAATCAGATGAAAGGTATGAAAATGGAATTGCAAGAAATAAGAAATAGGTGAACATATAAGCAAGGAAAATAATCTGTTTAATGGCAATTTATTACAATCATTTATAATCTTCTGAACCTTTTCTTGTTTATCAAATGTTTTACATACCTTAGAATACAGGTAGTCTTCGATTTACGACCACAATTGAGACCAACATTTCTGCTGTTGAGTGAAACGTTTGTTAAGTGAATTTTGCCCCATTTTACAACCTTTCTTGCCACAGTTAAGTGAATCGCTGCAGTTGATAAGTTGTCAATCCGGTTGTTAAGTGAATCTGGCTTCCCCATTGACTTTGCTTGTCAGAAGGTCACAAAAGAGGATCACATGACCTTGGGACGCAGCAACGGTCATAAGTATGAACCAGTTGCCAAGCATCTGAATTTTTATCACATGAACATGGGGATGCTGCAAAGGTAACCAAAAAATGGTCATAAGTCATTTAGCTGTAGCTTAGAACAGTCACTAAATGAACTGTTGTAAGTCAAGGACTACCTGTACAGATATACTTTCTTTTGTGGTATAAAGGGGATATGAATTTCTTCTCACATTTGTTTATATGAATATAGAAAAGAAAATAACACACAGCATCTGTAGCAAGTGCTCTCTTGTTTTTCACTGTGTGAATATCTTAAATGGCACTTGGATAATTATGACTAAAATATTGGGATTTTTTTTTAACTCTATAAATTACCAGTATATATTTCCCTCTTGTCTTAGGTATAGTAATAACATAGCTGCACTAATGTAATCATGTAATATTCCATGATTTGTAAACCAATGCATTTGTTTTCAAAGAGATTAAAAGCAAATCTTGATTAGCATCATCACGTTTCAATACTAAATTGGGAGGGAGGGGTGAGAGAGAGAGAGAAAATATGAATTGAATTGTAGTCTGCCCAGAGTCATTGACTGAGATGGGCAGCTATAGTAATTGAATAGATAGGCAGGCAGTTAATAGGAGGAATGAGGGTTGGAGCTGATTGTAACCTGTTAAGCATGAGGAGTTGAGTACTATCATGTTTGCCTTGGACCTTTTTAATGTTGCCTTTTTAATTGCACAAGGTGCTTTTAAATTCATTTCCACGTTCAGCCAGCAAAAGTAAGTAATCTGCTCTCTTTGTATGAATCTCAGTTTCATGGCTGAATGTAGATTTGAAAGTACTGTCTTGACTCTTGCTTAACAGATCTTCTGGGGTGCACATTATGCATTTTATGAGAAAGAATGGCATAGAGAAGTAATATGAGTGCCATATAGATTACATACATTTCTTACAACCTTGACTGATTTAACACCCAGACATGGAGTTTTTGGAGGTTTTGACCGAAGGCTTGAACAGAGTGCTTTTGGTGCGAGGAGGAGGACGTGAAGTGATCACCATTTACTCCTAATAATTTTACATTAGCAAATGTTGGAGGAAACAATTTTGAGTTAGACTCACGTTTCTAGTGTGCAGAATACAACATTTACAGTTGAAAGTATTCTCTCTCCTGTTTATTATGTAGATGTTTAAAGTTTGTCTTTACTGAAGAAATGGGGATGTATATATTTTTATATTGTTAATGTCGAAAACTGGAGACTTCTTTTTGTCCTTCACATAAAGATGCGGCACTGAGTTTGCTCATAGAATCTGTATGCAGAAAACCTTTTTTTTTTTTTTTGGATAGAGGAACACATTTTAGTATTTTTTTAAAATAACGATGGGTTAGAAGAAATAAACAAAAAAAGTGGGGTGGGACCTCCAGGAATTGTTTTATAAATGTCTAGAATTGTCATTTTACTACTGACCTTGCTGAGTTAAAACCATTTCCCCCATATCATTTCTCCTTAGTTCTGTGCTCATATTTACTTATCAATTTGTGAAATGCCTAGCACTGTATTTTTATGAAAAAAGTAGTTTAATAAAAATAATTTAATTGAGTCACTACAATTATTTAACTATTTGAAAGTGGAACCTCTGAGTTTTATTTATTTTCCCTTAAGTTGTTTCATTGAGAAGCTGATGTGAAAAGTTCATTTGCCAGTAACAGGTGGAGCAAATCAAGATTGCATTCTATAATACATACTCACTTGTTGAATAATCTCATGTTTTAGGAGAAGAAAGTAAAAATTAGTAAAATAAAATCACATGTGAAGCTCCAACAACCAGGTTTAGTTGCAGTAATTACATCAATCATTACATATATCAATTTCCTTTGGATAACTCTACTAAGCAAACTGGCAGAAAAGAACAAAAGAAGGTTATTCTGGCCAATACACAGATGTGCAGAGCACATCTCACTAGGTCAGGGGTCTTCAAACTTGGCCCTTTTATGACATGTGGACTTCAACTCCAAGAATTCCTCAGCCAGCATGCCTGTCATAAAAGGGCCAAGTTTGAAGACCCCTGCACTAAGTCATGGAGTGGAAAGCACTCTGAAACCTACACAGATGATCCACTTAAACAGCCAAAAGTGATTAGTTTCAGTCTTTCAACCCCCCCCCCCCAAAAAACACAGTATTTTGGGGTCTACATTATCTTTCCTGTACCCTTGTTGGGCAAACTACTTAACCAGGCATTAGGTGACCCAGTCCCAAGATTCAGACAACATTCCCAAAATGGGCAAGATGAAAACGTGTGGATTGATATATTTTTCCAGTCTATGAGAATTAAATGGATCTAGAGTATGGCTACTGGCAGTTAGAACTTTCCCCCATAAGTAGGTTCCATACATTTTAAGCCATATCCTAGAATAGTTATTTTCTGAATTCCTCAAGGTATTTTTTCATCCTACTACATTTTCACACTATCTTTGTTTCTGTCTTTCCAAGGACTAGAACACAAATGATTCCTAATCTTCACTTGGTATTAATGTATTTGCTATTGTAGTGAACTTTGGTTTGTTGAATATTTCTATGTCAAGACTCCACTGCAGTATGATTACCATTTTTTAAAATATTAAATGGGGATAACTTTTATATATTTACTGCACATTAGTAAATTATTAAATGGAAATATCTGTAAGTTGCATTAGCATTTCCACAGATGTAATGGTTCATATGTTTTTATCACAGAACTAATGAGAAACTTAACAATAGCTTCATTCACTATAATTTGTTCACTGTTTCCCTAGTTTATTTTTGTAACTTAAAATTGATAGTTGTTGGCCAGTCATTAGGGATAGTCTAATTACTTATTGATTGCCCATAATGTATTTCACGGTTATAGTTACACAGTGTTCCATATAACTCCACAAACATTTAGAAAATTGTTCTTTCAAATGACCGTAATAGACTGCTTTGAAGTACAGTACATCATTTCAGAATCATGGAGTTTGGCAAATCACTTTGGAAAGACAAAAGAATTTCAAAGTTATCTAGAATAATTGCTTGCCTGAAGTAATAGAAAAACATTCAGAAGCATATTCTAATAATAGTAGAGTGTATGCTTTGTGAGAAGAAAACCCCAGATTTAATTGCCACGGTCTCCAGGTAGAGAAAGAAAAATCTAACTTTTCCACACTCCAGTATTCCCATTAAAAAGGAAATACAGTCCAATTCAGTTTTCCAATTGAAGACATTTGATTGTGATTGGACTCATTAAAATATACTCTTTTTTCGCCTCTGGATATTTGTCATCTAGATCTTCATTATTGTTAATAATATGGTAGGGGTTTTCCCTACTAAAAAAGAATATAATGTTTGCTTATTTGAAAGAAAACGAAGGGAACCCTGAGCTGCTGGATAATACACATTTGATCCCACTTGTTTCTCATTCTAGCTTGTTATTCTTGTTCTGCTGGCAGTGGTTGAATCTTAATCTGTTTTTATGTCACTTGCTACATGGAGTCTTGTCTTTGCAAGTGACTTCTATCACTACCTGAAAGTTCTTCTAGATAAGCTGTAATATCAATGAAAGTATCATGGTGAAAGGGAAAATTAATCATACCTTTGCAGAGAAGTTCTGCTTGGTCAACCAGATGATCTTTTGAAGCGCTTTTAGGAATAATGTCTAAGGATATAACAGCCTGCAAAGCTGATGGCATTTACTTAGCAACTTCTCAATAGTGTGCTGTGTTCCCCAAATAAATAATAATATTCGAAAATTATGTTAACTTTTCTTCCTCTGGCAATTAGCTGGCAGAAGAAGTGGCTTATTATAAATATGGTAGATATGGGTGGCTGATGGTGGAATCAAATGCATATAGATCAATAAGCACTCCAACAAGTGAGCCATTATCATTTTCATTCCCTGAGCTTTTTACTTTGGGATACAGTGGGAGAGAGATTTTTCAAATAGGCTGTAACTCTGACACCCTTCTTGGGAAATATATCCTTGCACCCATATTTATTTATTTATTTATTTATGAGACTTATATACCGCTTTAAGTGCAAGCACTCTCTAAGCGGTGTACACCAGTAAGCAGTGTGTATATATATATATTTACATTGCCCCCAACAATCTGGGTCCTCATTTTACCTACCCCGGAAGGATGGAAGGCTGAGTCAACCCTGAGCCGGTGAGATTTGAACCGCTGACCTGCTGAACAGTCAGCTAAAGTGGCCTGCAGTACTGCACTCTAACTGCTGCGCCACCTCGGCTCATATATATCAATGGTGCTGAAGCAAAACTTTCAAGAATTCAGATTGAGCTGTAGCTGTATAATAAATATTGTATCTTCAGAGTATTTTCTGCAATTAAAAGGTGAATCCTGTGTATAACTAGCAGAAAATACTATTTCTGTTTCAACTGTGCTAGCATACCCAGGAATGATTTAGATATAACCAGTTTTAGGAATATCCAGTTGTGAGGCCTTAACTCTTAGTTGCCAGGATTTGATACCACAGGGTATAAGGCATGATCATAATCTCCATTTTTAAAGATATTATTCTGGTCTTAGATGATGGCTCCCATATTACATTGGAATTTGCAACTCCAACTGTCTCTAGGATGTTAATTTTCCTCATATTTTCATTCCATGAGAATGTTACGGTCTCACTAAAAGTTGTAAAATCTCCCTTGAGGGAGATGGATGGTCTAGAAATATGTAATATACAGTAAATGAATAGGGTTTACTTTTACTCTTCATTCTCGACATGTTATATTTAGGTAGACTTTAGGTGTGAAAGAAAACATTCATATTCCCGTTCTTATAGTTACAGAGGATTCGTTTTCTTCACCTTTTCCACATGTTTACACTTTTCTTATTGTTAGGTTTTATTTGGCATCTCTATTTATACTTCTGTCAGAAGAACCTATCTTGAACTTTTCTAAAGGTTTTTGAAATATTTATTAGAACCCAGTCTCTCTGTTAGTTTGCTTAATGCTTATTAAGTGTGTTAACTCTTATTAGTGTGAAATGTACTTAGACTAAAAAGAAGCATGTTATGATAAGATGTTAAGCCTTGTAATTAACATATTGTGATGATTAAGCCTAGTAAATGGGAAAATTAGCATCTTTACACCCTTCTGATATAGAGCAAAGATTTATTATTTATTTTAAACATTTATATAAGTGCCCATCTTATTCTGAACTGTCAGCAGCTCCCAATCAAGAATTAGAACAATATCAGTAATAAAACAAAGCCACATTAAAATGATTAAAACCATGAACAATAAAAACAAAAACCTGGCACCAAGTTAAACTCTGACATACGGTCACTTCAGTCTATCCTAGCGCTTGCTGGTGGGGGGAATGAGGGGGGAAGCAAGGTCTTCAAAACTTTATGGAAGGCTAGGTGGATAGAGAGGCCTGTTGAATTTCAGGGGACAAAGTGTTCCATAGAACGGGCTGCTACAGAAAAGACATGCTTCCTAGTTCTCATAAGTGGCAAAATTTAAGGGAAGTGACTAGGAACATGTCTACCCTATCTAACCTGATAGGGAGGGTGGCTGTCCTTAGGGAAAGGCTGTCCTGTGGAAAAAAAACCTGGCAATGTATCATATAGGGCAGGGGTCCCCAACTTTGGCAACTTTTAAGACCTGTGGACTTCAACTCCCAGAATTCCCCAGCCAGCATGGCTGGCTGGGGAATTCTGGGAGTTGAAGTCCACAGGTCTTAAAGTTGCCAAAGTTGGGGATTCCTGATATAGGGCTTTAAAAGCAATAACCAGAACTTTGAACTGTACCCAGAAGGAATCTGGAAGCCGTTGCTGCTTGTACAACAAAGGTGCTACATGGGTAAACCTAGGATCACCAATCACTGTACACGCTGCCACATTTTGAACCAGACCAGGCAAGCATGATAATGCTATTTCATGAGCTCTTCAGATTTAGGACAGAAAATAATCTTGATTTGAGCCCATTATGTGATTTAACTTAGGATGCAACATCCCCACGATAAGGACCTATTTTAGTTTATATCTTAACTCTCGTAAGGATAAATTTGCATGATAACTGCACAATGAAATAAATGGCCTAATCATTAAAGCCACATACATTTCCAGGCTGATTCGTGTAATAAAAATCAGGGTTTGATGCATACCACAATAGCTCTTAGCTTGTACCAAATGTTTGGACATTTGTGAAAGCAATCTTTGTAGCTGAGGCACAGTTTTTAAATTGCAAATGAATGTGAAGCTGTTCTTTGCCCATATTTAAAAGATGTTTCTATGGCTCAAAGGAACTGAAAAACAAGGAAATCCATGACCCAACTGCCTTGTATTGTGCTCTATAAGCAGTGGCAGTGTCTGTAAAACTGGATCTGTTGCATAACGTGAGAAAATTAATTCCAACTCGTGCAATTTAAAAGCAGAATTAATTTTTTTTTCAAAAAGCAAGGCTACAGACTTCCGGTGGTTCCAGCGATGACGAATGGCGGCGTTTTACAAAGCCGCCCGTTCCTGGTGCGTGTAAAAGCCGCGGGACTTTGACAATCAGCTGTCCCGCGGCTTGAATCTCCTCCCTGGGAAAAAGGGAGGAGGAGAGCTCTCAGGTAGAGGTAAGAGCTC